TTGTTCTGTTAGGATCTATTTTTATTTATTCATGTCGCTACATCTGGACAGGGAGGTTTACAACAGGCCTAGTTTGTCAACAGGTTTTGTTTAATTCTAGCCATCGTTCTTTGTGTGTGTGTGTTTTTTCTCTCAGTTTGTCTTTTCTGAGAACACACATAGCCACAAAAACATACTGTGTTTCACCACATGATCCTATTGCCTTCCAAAAAGGTGACTGAGGTAATTCACTCACTGGGAGTAGGAAATTTCATATTCTCATGAAAGCAGTAGAAAAAACAAAACTAAACTAAAGCTGCAGAGACATTACAACTCACTCACAAAAGGGCCTTCTAAGTTTAAGGGCTTTAAAGTTTAAGACTTTATTTTTAATCATTGTGATGAAAATGAAGCAGTAATAACTATTAATGTCATATAAGTGCAGGCATATATATGTGTAGTTTTTAACTAGTTTCACCTTATAATTGTTAAAAAAAAAAAATCTGATGTATGGCATGGAAGTGTGCATCTATAATGTACAATTCCACAACTTCAGAGGTGGAAGCAACATCAGTAGCTACTTTTAGGAGCCTAAGTAACAGTTCCAAACTACCCTGAGTTGTTTCAAAATTAAAAAAAAAAAAAAAAGAATGTGAACAGAAAGTATGACGTGAAGATTCTCTGCAATAATACATATACAATATATATGTATATATCAAAAATCAAGAGCTCAGACTCCCTTGGGTCAACAGATGGAAGAACAAACAAAAAGAACCCACTTGGAAGGAAGGAAGGAAGGAAAGGAAGGAAGGAAGGAAGGAAGGAAGGAAGGAAGGAAGGAAGGAAGGAAGGAAGGAAAGGAGGAAAAAGAGAAGAAAAGAAAATAACAACAAAACAAAACAAAACAGAAAGGCAGGCAGGCTGGGTGTGATGATGCATGTTTGTAATCCCAGCACTGGAGAAGTTGAGGCAGTTGGGTTCCTGGGGCGTGCTGGCCAACCTAGTCTACTTGGGGAGTTCCAGGCCACTCAGAAATGGCACTTTTGGAATGGCATGGTTGTCCCCTAACCTTCGTGCATACATCCCTGCAAATGTATGTACACACCCATGAAAACCATTAGAAACCCTCCTCTGAGAGAACTGTTTCTTCAGGGCTGTTTTCTGGTGTTTGTTAAAGGCAATACTGCCCTCTGCTGTTCAGAAGTCAATTTCACTCCTGTCTCCCCCACCAAATTGCCTTCTTACTCTCACATAATTTAGAATTTAAAAATCTTTTCAAGTAATAAGTAATATTTAAAAAAAAAATTTACTCACTGGCTTGAAGCCCACTAGATCAGGTAATTTAGACTTATTTTTGCATCAAAATTTATTTACTAATATCTTAAGGAAGATCCAAAGATTTTTCCTTTACGTTTTTAAAATAACACTTTCCTCTGGTTATAAGGAATGTGTTCTTAATCCTTATCTTTAAATTATAATCCATTGAATCACTGTCAACTTTTAAGAAGCTAAATCATTCTTTCTTTCACCTTTGTAACTGATGTGTCATTTTTCATTTCATTCTGAATATGAATCGTAATTTCTTTTGCCTGTGTTTTTTTCTTCACAAGCACGCCTTTCATATAATGATAGAGGTAAGATGCATTGATGTTTGTTTTATGGTTGTGAAAGCTTTTGTAGACGCACACAAAACATTTGTCCTTAAGAGTTTTGTTATTATTGTTGCTTTAGTTTGCATCCTTTATAGTTCATCTACTTTATTATAAAAGTCCCCTTTTGTATACAAATATGATTCATTTGACAGAGTAAAAGCATTTGGTTTTGAAGGTTTAACAGTATTTATACTTATCTAATGTAGAATGTAGAAATAACTATTTCTTCTGAGTAGAAGATAAAACCTAATGAAGTCACTAGCCTTGGAAACCCAGTATTTCTAATTTTTATAGTATTTCAAATGTCAGCCTGTACTCATTCAAATAAGAGATGACTTTCTGGTCTAGCTCATTATCTGTTAACTTAAAATCTATATTTTCCAATGTCATCTCCAGCAAATGAATTAGCTAAAGAAATAGTACCTTTGAGAAATCTGTTGCTGCTGGGAAGGTTGGGGCTATTTGGAAAAGAATGTACACTTAACTTGGAAATAAGCAGAACTGATCACAGATGTCTTTGCTGCACCCTTGAACAATGTCCCAGCGTGGGCATACTAATGCCACTGCATGGGGCAGCATAGGGCTTTGCCAGTAACTGCAACTTCAGCATCCTTTCTGATGTCTTGAGAAAGAATAGTCAGAGCAGCTTCTGATGAGCATCTTCTTAGTTTTATGTTTTGAATGGTCATTGGTAGAGCCCTGGGAACTGAAGGGAGAGTCTCAGAAATTCTGTAGTCCTTAGAATTGCTGCCCTCCAAATGTTTCTGTGCAGCGAGGCAAAGCTGTGCTTTACGGATGCCATCATTTACAAACTGTAAGCTCTCATTTGTCTTCCTAGGGGTTTAGATGTTTAATGATTGAAGTCCCCATTCCTAGAAACAAATACTGAGTTTTTCTGAATAAATTGCTATAATGATGCTAATAAACTTGAGTCATATCTAATATTCTTAGATAATAAGTAAAACTTAGATTTTAGGGATGCATTTAAAACTTCATCCTAGTAACTTCTTGTTAAAAAAGCAAAAAGGTATATTGATGAGTGATACAATGTATTTTGTAGCTATCCATATTAAGAAGCTTCTCTTTTAACCCAATCTTAAGTATTTGTGAATATTAATTATAATTAAGACTACATCTTAAAACTTTCTGGTGTTGGTAAGAATGAACCTCTATAGATCATTTTATTCCCATTTAAAAATTGGCCTGTATTTGTTTTTTTTTTAATTTAAATTTTCTATACTGTTAAGAAAATTTGACAGTTGTGTGTTTTGTAGCAATTAGAGGTAGAGTTTTGGGTAAAATTGTATTATTAACTGTTGATCCAAAATTTCTCTCTGCAATAACAGTATGTTAAGAAATTTACCAAGGAGAGCTTTGTAAGTTTATAGGACCTTTGAAGTTTATCTTTGCATCTGGAAAACATTTAACATACTTTGAATTACTGTTTACATTATTAACCTGAGATGTTGACGAGATAATCTTAATCCTGTTTCATAGTCTGGACTCATGTCTGTGGTTGGCACCCTTTTGAACAGAGAATAAATATGTGTAAGTTATCTCTAGAGACATTGGTCAGTATATAAAAGGCTGTCAGATATCATAGTGTTTATAGCTGTATAGCCCTCTTTTCTCCCTTTTTTCAGTTATTATCCGAGGATTGTTGTATTGGTGTTTGGCAAAGCTGATCCTGTCCTTTCTGTTTAGTTATTTCTTTGTATGTCCATGGACACATATTCTTGGACCTTGCATACTGGATGGTTTTGTTGCCTTTGGAAGAGTAGTGTTCACCTTATTCTCTCCAGTCTTCTAAGTCTTCCTTGTTCCTGTTAGTAGAATCTTATTACAGGCAGAGATGGTTAGTTGTAGAATGGTAAAGGAGAACATGGTTCCCACAGTAACTTTCCAGAGAGATGGAGATTTCCTTCCCTAGGAATCTCTATGCGCCAGTCCTTCCTGCAGGCTTTGTAGACAACCTTTTTGGTCTATCACTGTGCTAAACAAAAGTACTTTTGCTTTATTAACCTTTCATATTTTTAATTTGGGAGGAACAGAAACGTCGTAACCATTTAAAAACGTGACTTTGGGATGAGTCACAGGAAGTCTTCTGCCTTACTTTTAAAAATAGGTGTTTTCAAGCCTTCATATAAGGACTGTCTAGAAGTTGCATTCTTTTTTTCCTATGATACTTCGCATTATTCCCCCCCCCTGGGGGGTGGTTAATTGTAATGCTTGATAGAAACTTTTTAGACTCCCAAACAGGCTAGTGGCTGAAGGATGTCTCCAGGGAGCACTTAAGTCTTGGAACATTTCAAAGATCTAAAAAGGAAGAAGAAAGTTAGATGTGAGATGCAATGATCTTGGATAAAATGCCATTTTTAAGTATATGAAATACCATCAGGAGTCCATTCTTGCCACAAAAATTTTGGTTCCTTCTCACAGAACTTAAATAGCCTTTGAAACATTTCTGATGCTTTGTCTGTTGGCTTTCAGAAGCTTCTTACATCTTGTTTTAGTTGCGTAACGTAAACTGATAGAACACTTTCAGCAAAGGGTTGCCATTCTGTTGTAGGGAATTTTCTTTGCTGTTTTCCTTTTCATGTATTATTCTGACCCTATTTTTGAAATTCATTATAGTAGCACTCTTGTCTTCTATTCACATTCCATGTTTCTGACTATGCATACCATTTTTCTAGATTTTATTTGTACTTTGTTTTATTTTTCTTTTCAATTATCCTCAGAACATATATATATATATATATATATATATATATATATATATATATATATTTAATTTTTAGTAAGTTTTGGGGAATAGTTAAAAGGATAAACTATTAGTATCTTGAAAAATAAGTATGAACAAAATGCTTATAGAAACATTTAAATGCTTTTTATATACTTGTTTAAAATGACTGGGTATTATGAAATTAATGAAGAAAGAGTCAATATTAAACAGGCACTAGAGAAAGTAATAGATTTGAGATTTTTTTTTTTGAGAAATGATCATACTTTGCTGCTTTGGAACTTTTCAAGTCTGTATCCTTTCAGAGAATATAAACTGCATGAAACCAATGGCCTACTATTAAGAGTGTTCTGAAGCTCACAGAGAGCCTTGGGGACATTGGTCCGAGGAGCTGCCCAGTATGCCCACTTACTGTTTAGTAGTAGCAGGAGTGCTATGTTAGACATGGCTTGCTTAGTGCTGCGCGTTAATGCCCAGCAGCTCAGTCCCTGCAGGCTGACAGTTAAGGTCATTAACATTACAGTTCCTCACGTGCTCACAGTGTCCGTTAATATACTAACCCTTTTCTCATTTCAGAATCAATGTCTTCTGTTCTGCTTATTTACAGTATTATTATTGTTTATCTCTAGGACCCAGGACCACCCCCACCTTCCCCATTACTAGGTTTGAAGCCATTGCAGCTGTTAGAAGTGAAAGCAAGGGGAAGATTTGGGTGTGTCTGGAAAGCCCAGTTGCTCAATGAATATGTGGCTGTCAAAATATTTCCGATACAGGTATGTCTATTGATGTTTTCTACTTTCTCTACCTCTATTTGAAAGCTCTAACTTGTCAGGACACGATAGTTCATCAACAGTCTCAAAACACAAACTATATATTCGAAAGTGATCCTTTGAGATAGTTGGGAAAGTAGTCTAGCCTGTTTGTGCTGCTGTCACATCTGAGGAATAGAATGACTACATGCAGCGCTTGGGTTTGTTGGCAGTATTTGAATCACAATAAATGAATGTATAGTCTGTGTTTTGTTAATAAAAACTAAGGTATTGCAGTTACAAAAATAAAATCACCTAGCAGTTTTCTTCTTCTCTTGTCAGGAAAGAACAACAGATTGTGTGCTTTACTTTAGAGTTGCTGTCTGGAGCTCCCTGGCCAGGCTTTGATTTCTTTCCATTGCACTTTGAGTCCTTATATGTAATTATTGCAGTTTCTGTTGGTAATTTCTCAGTGGTAGTGATTCAGGTTTCTAAAGTCTTACTTTACTTAGTTTCCCCTTAAGTGCAGCTGCACATGTTACGCCGCCTGACCTAAGGAGGGCTTGCCCCTCCGCCGCTGCCACTTTGCTGCACTGCGGGTACACTGTAGAGGCCCATTTCCCCCTTTCTTTGGTGACGCATCCTTGTGGCTGATTGTATCCTTCCTAATGAAGTCTGAGCCACACTCTCAGCCTCCATCACTCCAGAGTTACTGTAGAAAACAGTATCCTTGGTATACCTAGGTTTCCCCTCCTCACTTCTTCGCAAGCCCATCCCGGAGAGTCTGTTTCTGCGTGGGCAGCAGTGTAGCTCTTTTAGAGAGAAATACTGTGTTTTACTAAGATTCATAATAAGAGCCATGCTTCAAGTGTGCAAGGAATCTTAGCAGTTAGAAAAAGGCATCAGATATTAAGAATAGAAATGATGGCAGCCATTTTATCAAATGCTTTTATTGACAAAGTAATGATTTGCATGTTGCATGTTCATATATCATCTGTATATACATGGAGTAAGCACTTTAGTGACCAACAGCATAAGTATTCTTTTAGTTTCCTGGAAAATGAATACTTTTATAAAAGTCAGAGGAAGAGCCAGAATTTAAACTAATCTTGGATCCAGAGATTTCCTTACTATACATTGTAGCGTAACTCATTTTCACTGTCTTTTCATAGTGAAAAGAAACTCATCTTTTGTATAGAAGTATACAGTAGACACAGATAACTTGCAGGAAAGAGTAATTGATAGTTAAAAAAATAAGATACTGTTAGCTTTTGGGGGTGTGGAGGGCAGGCGGAAGAGAGACTGTTCTCTAAGGTATTTAGTCTGTCTGTATTTATCTTTCAGGCAGACGATTGTGAATAGTAGCCTAAGTAACTTCACACCTATAGTGTTTGCAGTGATGTGTAAGCAGAATGTGTTGCCATTTAAAATACAGAAATGCAGTGATTCTTGTTGAATGCTTATGCTTATAAACTTAGCAACATAGGAAAGTAGATTTTGAGGAAATGGGGTAGGACAAGGATTTATTTTGGATTATTGTTATTACCTGTCACAGATTTCTTTAATAAAAAATAAAAGATCACTATGTTTAGCTAATTTTGTTGTTGTACCACTTACACTTTGCTTATTTTGTTCCGATTTTAGAACGTACTCTAGTAATCTCAGTGTGATTTATTTTCTTATACTTTTGTGTTCTTACCATGCTTTATTTTTTTGCTATAGGACAAACAGTCCTGGCAGAATGAATATGAAGTCTATAGTTTACCTGGAATGAAGCATGAGAATATATTACAGTTCATTGGTGCAGAGAAACGAGGTACCAGCGTTGATGTGGACCTATGGCTAATCACAGCATTTCATGAAAAGGTAAAATGATTTAATACTTAAGTTTAGTCAAGCTGGACTTGGCTTACCTACCTATTGTCTTCTATTGTATTTCAAGAGAACAGTATGGTATCACAATTGATTAATACCTGATCCAAAATATACATTACTCATAAATAAAAATACTAAAAAAATGACTTTCAGAAAGAACAACTTTCTACTTAACCCTCTTATCATAGATCAGCTTTAGGCTTTGATTTCCTGAGCTGCAATTACTTCTCTTAGAGGTACTTTAGAACAGTATAAACAATGTTTACATGAATTACTTTTGATACTGTTAGATTTTTATGAGCCCCACTTGTTTTTTAACCTGTAATTTTTTTGCTTTGTTTTTATTATTATCATGTATTACAATTTATTCAATTTGTATCCCTACTGTGGCCCCTTCCCTGGTTTCCTCCCAATCCTACCCTCCCTCCCTCTTCTCCCATTATACCCCTCCCCTAGCCTACTTATAGGGGAGGTCCTCCTCCCCTTCTTTTTGACTCTAGCCTATCAGGTCTCATCAGGACTGGTTGCATTGCCTTCCTGAAAAGGCTGCACCCCCCCACCCCAGGGGGAGGTGATCAGAGAGCCTGTCACTGAATTCTTGCCAGAGAAAGCCCCTGCTCCCCTTACTAGGGACCCACTTGGAGACTGAGTCTAAGAGCTACATCTGAGCCTGGGTTTCAGGCCCTCTCCATGCATGGTCCTTGGTTGGGTATTAGTCTCTGCAGGGCTCCCAGGGCTCAGTTTTTTTTTTTTTTTTTTTTTTTTTTTTTTTTTTTGTTTGTTTTTTTTTGGGGGGGGGGGAGTTGGCTCTGTTGTTCTCCTTTTGGAGCTCCTGTCCCCTCCAGGTCTTTCTATCTCCCACTTCTTTCTTAAAATTCCATGCCCTCTGCCCAAAGTTTGGCTATGAGTCTCAGCATCTGCTTCATTACCTTGATCAGTAGAGTCTTTCAGAGGCCATCAGTGGTAGGCTCTTGTCCTGTTCCTTGTCTTCTCCTGCTTCCAATGTCTATCATATTTGTCCTTTTGAATGAGGATTGAACATCTTCCCTAGAGTCTTCCTTATTGTTTAGCTTCATTAAAGAATATAGATTTTAGTATGTTTATTCTATATTATATGGCTAATATCCACTTATGAGTGAGTATATACCATGTGTGTCTTTCTGCTTCTGGGTTACCTCAGTCAAGATGAACTTTTCTAGTTCCCACCATTTGCCTGCAAATTTCATGATTTCCTTGTTTTTAATAGCTGAACAGTATTCCATTGTGTAAATGTACCACAATTTCTGTATCCATTCCTCAGTTGAGGGACATCTGGGTTGTTTCCAGGTTATGGCTATTACGAATAAACCTGTTAAAAACATGGTTGAGCAAATGTCCTTGTTGTATAGTTGAGCATACTTTGGATATATGCCTAGGAGTGGTATAGCTGGGTCTTGAGGAAGCACTATTCCAAATTTTCTGAGAAAGCGCCAAATTGATTTCCAAAGTGGTTGTACAAGTTTCCAATCCCACCAGCAATGGAGGAGGGTTCTCCTTTCTCCACATCCTCTCCAGCATGTGTTGTAACTTAAGTTTTTGATCTTAGCCATTCTGATGGGTGTAAGGTGAAATCTCAGGGTTGATTTGATTTGCATCTCCCTGATGACTAAGGAAGTTGAACATTTCTTTAGGTGTTTCTCTGCCATTTGATATTCCTCTATTGGAATTCTCTGTTTAGCTCTGTACCCCATTTTTTTAATTGGATTACTTGGTTTGTTGGTGTTTAATTGCTAAAACAGTCCTGTACAATAACAGCTTCTGGAGGTATCTCCATCCCTGGTTTCAAGCTGTACTATAGAGCAACAGTAATAAAAACTGCATGGTACTGGCATAGAAACAGAAAGGAGGATCAATGGAATTGTTTTTAAAGAAAAGTCTTCCGTGTAGTTCAGGCTGGTCTCAAACTCATTTTTGTGTTTTGCAACCTCCCACATGCTGGAATTGTGGATTTGTGTTACCGTGGCTAACTAAGGTAGTTTTTGTGAGTGTCATCACTGTTGAGTGTGAGTGGCTTTATATATTACTTAGTGTTTGACCATAAAGATCATATACCTCTAATGAATGGGTATGTGTGTCTGTGTGTGTGTGTGTGTCTGTGTACACCATTACGTGTAAGATGCATGTGTGGAAGCCTGTGCTTAATATTTGGGCGTCTTCCTCAGTTGCTTTTCATATTTTGTTTTTGTTTGAGGCAGGGTCTGTCACTGACCCTATATCTCACTGATGCTTCCAGGGATCTAAATGAGTCTGTGCCCTCCTAGCACTGGGGTTATAGAACTAACGTTGGGCCTGAGGATCTGAACTCAGGTCCTGATGCTTGGGTGACAGGTGCTTTACCAACTAAGTCATTTCTTCAGGATTACTCTGTGTGTTTGTGGTTATTTATGTTTTGAACCTATGATGTCAGTGTGTTTCACTGAAAAGATTAGTATTTTTTTCCAAGACATTCAGCTAGTCTTTTTTCTTTTCTTTCTTTCTTAACCTCCTAAAGTCAAGGAAATTAATTTATTTTGGTAATAAACTTTTTAAAATTAGTCTTTTGTAGTTGAATGTTCATTAATGTGAATTGAAAGGAAATTTGAACAACTCTGTAGAATTTTTATTTTTTAAGTCTTTGAAAGGAATGCATTGTCCTCGTATCCAAAGAAAAGTTTTCATCTATGTAAAACTTTCATCAAGAGCTTATGGTTGTTTCCTCTCCCTCTCCTCTTTTCTTTAGGGTTCACTGTCAGATTTTCTTAAGGCTAATGTGGTCTCTTGGAATGAACTTTGTCATATTGCAGAAACCATGGCTAGAGGATTGGCATATTTACATGAGGATATACCTGGCTTAAAAGATGGCCACAAGCCTGCAATATCTCACAGGTAGAACAAGAATTTGTATTGTCTTTCCATTAAACTCACATGTTTACTACTTAAACTTTTAATTGTCAAAAGTTTTCTTTTTGCCCTGGTTGTCCAATCATATTTGAAGAGGTGACCATGTTTTAAAATTAGGTTTGAGATCGGCTGATGTATTTTTGGGTAATGTACATGTTAATCTCATTATTAAAGTGTGACTAGCTCATGTTTTAATTTGTCTAATTTCTGAAACCATGTTCAAGAAATGATTTTAACTCAAAAATTTAATTTACTTTAAAGGCAATTTTTAGTAGATACACGGTGATGAAATTAAGCGTAGACTAAGTATTTTTTTTTTTTGATTTTTGGATGACTATACATTAATTCCTTGATCTAAAGTAGAAGATTGAGAGGAGACAGCTGTTGAAGAAACTTTCACCATGTATTGAAAAGGAAAAGTGTTCCTGAAAAATAGATTTAGTTGACCATTATTTAACTTCCTTGTAAGAATATGAAATTGAGTTGTTATTGTCTGTTCAGTTTAAAAATGGCTGTTTTAAAAGTAAGTATTAACATATTGATTTAGCAACTAAGTGAATGTCATCAGATTCTGATTTTTGCAAATCATAAATGACATCTTTAGAAAGGGCTCCTCTTTCTTTCATCTTCCTTCATGAGTCAGCCTTCTATTAATATACTCATATTAATCCTTCAGACCTTGCCAAATTTGTTAGCTATAGGAGCCCTGAAAATGTTTTGATACTGAAACCAGTTGTTGGTTTCTGAAGCATTTGACTCTTCTTCCATCCTGTTGTGGGTCTAAATGACGATTTCCTAAGTGTCCCTGTTGGTTACAACATAGCCATTTTTGCTTTGTCTTTAAGATAAACTAGATGGATTGACTTTTCAAAGTACCAACCTCTGATTTATGGTAAAAGCTTCTGTGTGTGGGCCTAGAGGTACTTTCCTACAAAAGTGCCATGCAGCGCAGGGATCACTGCAGTGCGTTGCCAATCTAAAGTGGAAATTTTATCAAAGGCTGTTTTTAAATTTGTCTTGTTTTTCTGAAGTTATAGGTTCTATATAGGTTTGTAGCTACAAGATCTGAAACATTCCCATTACCTTAAAGCAATAGTAAATTTTATGATCATGTGGGCACGACATAGACGATACGTATTACTGGAATGGCTGTTTGTAAGCTGCTTTCTTGGAGAGCATATTTTCTTGGTCCTGCTAAGCTGGCTTCCTGTACGCTAGCCTAGGGTTGGACTCTGCCTAAGCATCTTATCTCTTTCTTTGCCTTTCATACTTTTAAATAAGGTTATTTTTTATAACATATTCCATATTCTCCTCCCTTCCAATAGAATTTTTTCAAGATAACTTGTTTAAAATACTTAATTTTTCTATTTATAGGGACATCAAAAGTAAAAATGTGCTGTTGAAAAACAATCTGACAGCTTGCATTGCTGACTTTGGGTTGGCTTTAAAGTTTGAGGCTGGCAAATCTGCAGGTGACACCCATGGACAGGTAAGAACGACCACTCTAAAACATGAGCAAAAAAATAAGCGCATCTTAGTTTTAAGACCAACATGACTTGCTCTACAGTTGTTGAGGTAGTGATTGAGTCATCATCTAAGAAGGAGTGATATATTTTACTTTGAGAGGCAACATTTTAATACTGTTGTCAACCCAGGTTAAGCAAGCACTAGAACAATGTTTAACTGTGGCAACATTGTTTTTTTTCAAAACAACTGGTCACAGAAGAATCCATTTCCAAGTAATTTCACCTTTAGTAAATTCAGTTTTCTTTGGCCAGCAGCCCATCATCCTAACAGTGGAGGATAATGGGTCATTTCTCATTACCATGTACTACGTTCTCCTCATTTTCTACACGACAATTTCTTGCTTCTGACTCTATATCTACTCATGAGCTCTTTAAAAAATTTAGTTGTTTGTTTGTTTGTTTGTTTTTTTAAATTCTTTCTAGAATTCAGAGCTCCTGAAAAGGTCAGACAAGGTGCCAAACTCCAGTTATGGATTGCACAAGGCCAGAGGAGAGAAGAATACCCATGTATTTTATTCTCAGGGGGGAAAAAAAAAAGTGAGGCTAGGAAAGGTGTTTACACTTGTATAGATTCCCTTTTTGTTTTTTAAATAAGAACAGTTTAGGGACAGGAGAGATTGCCCAGGATTAAGAATGCTTCCTGCCTTTGCAAGAACCAAGTTCATTTCCTCACTCAGGCTGCTCAGAAATGCCTGTAAGATCATTTCCAGGTGACCCAACATCCTTTTATGGGCTCTGTGGGAACCCACATTCACATGTGCACAGAGCTCCTCCCTGCCTATGCAATTAAAAAGAAAATAAATATTTTCTTAAAAACAGTTTGAAATGTGACATATTCTACAAAGCCAAATTATTCTTTCAAGGCTTTGTTTTTATTAGTTCTCTTTTAAATTATTCAGGTTATTTGGTTATTTCTGAGTTTTCTTTTCCTTCTATATCTTGTTGACCCCCAGGAATATAGCTGTGCGCAGTCATGACACACTGAGTTCTGGCAACATTAATTAACACTTTAAGATTTCTTCAAGGTAATGTCAGCGGTTGGAGAACACTAGAAAAGCTGACATGCTTGTTTGGGGAGAATACTAGTAAAAATGTTTATGTTGAACAGAGAAAGCTGGAAAACTACTTTATGTGCTTACAAAATCAGTTAAAAATTGAACTTCAGAGTTTTACTTGCCTGTCCTTATTTTCTAAAAACCATTTCTAAATGTGCATATAACTGCTGAAATTTGGTCAAAAGCTCATTCACCATTACCTAAGGGTGACCTCATTGATGCCTACGCTGCTTCATAGATATACTTAGGTATACTGTCTTAATACATATACCCTGTGATGTTACAATTAGGATCTAGTTACTTTACTCTGGATAAATACTCTGGATATTTGGTTTTCTTCCTACAAAACCATAAATAAAACATTAGTTCATAAAGTCAAAAAGTGAGTACTGTTTGATTTAAAAAATCTTTTTCAGGTTGGTACCCGGAGGTATATGGCTCCAGAGGTTTTAGAGGGTGCTATAAACTTCCAAAGGGACGCGTTTTTGAGGATAGATATGTACGCCATGGGATTAGTGCTGTGGGAACTGGCTTCTCGTTGTACTGCTGCAGATGGTAAGGGAAAAAGCATTTTTTAAAGAGTATATATGCTTCATTTATGAAAAGTTATTACACAAAGAGGTAAATAACTACATTTTCTTTCATGGACTCCAACAGGTGGCTGAAGATGCAGGAGGCAAGGTGAACTTGGAGGGGCTGGGTATGAAAGGAACTGGCATTGACACTTTGGAGGTAGAAGTAGGTCAGATAGCACATACTACATTGTTTAAGAACATCTATGTTGTGTCCTTCATATCAAACTATGACTTGGTGTCATGTTAATGCAGCAGGCCCTGTTGTTAAGTAATTCATAGTTAAGGTGATTGAATACCTTCTAGAGAGTGAACTCTAGAGTGAGTTAAGTGTGAACAGTCTGTCAGGCATCAGTAACTAATGAGGTTTAGTGCAGTCACTGGTGAGAGATATACAGTGTGATGGAGGGGTTAAGAAGAGTTACTTTGTAGGGAAAGGGGTTACTGGGACACATTAATGGCAACAGAAAAGGTTGGTAGGTACTTATTTTCCTTAAATGCCTTGTAATGTTCTGTAAATACTTAAGAGCAGGCTATGTCACAAGGCAGAAATTAGGGCCAAAGAAAAATGAACCATATTGATAAAATGAGTGTGTTTAAATTTGGGGCCAGAGAGATGGCTCAGCAGTTAAGAGCATTGGCTGTTGAATCCGAGTTCAAATTCCAGTACCCACATGGCAGCCCACTACTGTCTGTAACTCCAGTTCCAGGAGATCTGATATCTTCTCAGACATATACAAGCAGGCATAACACCAGTGTACATACAATAAATAAAACATTTTAAAAATTGTGTCTAGTTGTTAGTTCAAATTCAGCAGTTCTTAAAATTCACCAACTCCTATGAATCTTGGAGGCTCAGAAGATGGGTTGGTTCTTAACATTGGTTGCTCTTCCTTCATGAACATTAGTCACGGCTGTGGTACAGATGCAGGCAAAAAAAAATTAGACACGTACACACACACACACACACACACACACACACAAATAAGTAGCGTTGGCAGAGTCCTGAGAAGTCTGTATTTTACAAGCCACCAGTTGATTGATGACAATGTCATTGACCTGTGAACCAGACAAAGATTGAAATTCTAGGATGTTGGTACTAAGTTACTGGATGTACATAGCAGTTCTTCAGCTATCCAAAGGTTCCTACAGGGCTGGTGAAATGGCTCATGGGAAATCTTCATGACCCCATTTTGGTCCTGAGTCTCACACAGTGGAAGGCAAGTTGTTCTCTTACCTCTGTATGCATGTTGTGGCATGCACAAAAAAGTACACACATAGTAAGTGTAGTAATAAGAAAGGACAGTTCCTAATACTCATACAGGTCTGAGTCAGTGCCTCTTGCAGTTCATATTTTCTTTGAAGTATTTGGTACATTTTTATACTTTGCATAAGCAAAGTTCATCTGTTTCTCTCAAGTCAGTAACACTGTGCAGTAGTGATGTGTTTTGAGTGAAGAGGAGATAATCCGGAGATTAAAAGCACAGATTTCAGATCAGATTCATATTTCAACTCCACTTCGTAATAGTCAGATAGTTCTGTGCAAAATCTCTTAACTTTCTGAGCTGTCTTATTTACAAAATGGAGCAGATGCCACCATCACTAGGAGATAAACAATAAAATATAGGTGTGTCTAGTTCTGAATAAGAATCTATTGAATTTGAGTTGTTAACTCTTAAGTGCACGTTCCTATCTATTTAGATCTAAGAAAAACAAGTTATGTTACTGAATTAATTTTGTCATGAGGTACATTTTGACTTGATGGGAATTCGGGTTGAAGTGCCCTTATTAATTAAACATAAAATAACATTCAAAGTATTATAAATATGCTTGTGAGAGAGGACTGGAAGTTGTGAAGTACACTAATTCCTCATGCGGTCATGTAGGGTGTTTGAGCACACCGCAGAGAAGTAATTATACTTAGGTGGAACTAAGTCTTGAGAGGTGCTAACACCTCTTAATAGTAACATTGTGATATGAATTGCTGAAGTGAGTCTTCTGAAGAAGGGTTCCTAGCTTTGATTTCCAAATACTGATGCCCTTTGTGATACCTAGACATGGGCATTCAGCGTGTGTTCCAAAAACAGTCTGGTGAGGTGAAATACAAGGATCAAGAGTTTGAGCCAGTCAAAACTATTTAGCTTGACCCTGTCTTAAAAAAGTAGTCATCAAAAACTCCTAAAAACAGACCTTTTAATTTCTCATAAATTAGATTCTGGTCCTACTTGTATCTGGTGATACAAGTCTAGCTGGGGGTTCTTTTCTCTTTGTATTATTGAATATCAAATGGGAAAATACGGATACAGAATATATTTTAAAGAGCTTGAACTAATCAGGAAGAATTTAAATGGATTTTCCTTTTTTTACATTTCAGGACCTGTAGATGAGTATATGTTGCCATTTGAGGAGGAAATTGGCCAGCATCCATCTCTTGAAGATATGCAGGAAGTTGTAGTTCACAAAAAAAAGAGGCCTGTTTTAAGAGATTATTGGCAGAAACATGCAGTAAGTTTATACACTTATTTTCCATTTGAAATTTCAAGAAAAACACTTTTCAGAATGATCTGTTTATTCTCTGCACATTTTTCTTCTGGGAAGGTGGTCCTCACACAGATGTTTTGTATCGAAGTTCAGAGGCAGAATTAGGGCTTTGTCTGAAGTCACCAAGCCTTACAAAGAAGGCTCCTAACTAGTTAAGATCTAGTTAAGTTCAAGCAAATACACCCCATTTTAAAAGCTACATGAGGAAAGAAATGCCTGGATCTGAATCCATGGGAAGCTGGATAGCCTTATCATTATTACCTTCTAATAGATGCCATTTTAACACTTACTTAGCACCAATTGTTCTCTGCTCCGTGAAGTCTTAGTTATTTCTTTCTCTCAGGCTTTCAAGACTTCACGTTACAGTTAGAGCAGACAGAACAGCATAGAATTGTGCTGGTAATTTGGTGTTAGTATCACTAGAAATTCAAATAAAAGTAACTACATCCTGAAGCTAGAGATAGATTCTTCATGGGTGGCCTTTTAATCTTTAACTGCATGGGAGAAATGCTAGTCTCAACTAAGAAAGTGATAAAAAAAAAAAAAAAATTGGTACCCACATTAGACTTGGTTGTGAGTCTACTTGAAATGATTATGGATTATTGGAACTTAAAAACATATTCCTGCTGTGAATCCCTAATGCTTGGAAAAGTGACATTTTTTGATGGTATGTAAAATTACGTTCAGTAAAACTGGATTTTGCTCTAGCCATGCTATTTCGAATGCTTTAGGAAGAAAGATCAAGAGTTTGAGGCCAAGGCTGGCCTGCATAATGAATTCATTAAAAAGTGCCAAAGTGAGTACTGATCAGACTTTGCTGATCTTGAAACTATTACCCATGAAAATTGCTATTTCATTGACAGTGTTATCTCATTTCCTGTCAAGAAACAACAGCTGTTAAGTCTGACTGTTCTTCTCTTAGGGAATGGCAATGCTCTGTGAAACAATAGAAGAATGTTGGGATCACGACGCAGAAGCCAGGTTATCAGCTGGATGTGTAGGTGAAAGAATTACCCAGATGCAAAGACTAACAAATATCATAACTACAGAGGACATTGTAACAGTGGTCACAATGGTGACAAATGTTGACTTTCCTCCCAAAGAATCTAGTCTATGATGGTTGCACCATCTGTACACACTGAGAATTGGGACTCTGAACTGGAGCTGCTAAGCTAAGGAAACTGCTTAGTTTATTTTCTGTGTGAAATGAGTAGGATGCCTCCGGGACATGTGCACAAGCAGCCCCTTGTGGAAAGCATGGCTCTGGGAGACTTACTGCATCGTCTGCAGCACAGATATGAAGGGGAATCTAAGGAAAAAAGCTGCAAACTGTAAGGAACTTCTGAAAGATGTACACGAAGAATGTGGCCCTCTCCAAATCAAGGATCTTTTGGACCTGGCTAATCAAGTGTTTGAAAACTGACGTCAGATTTCTTAATGTCTGTCAGAAGACACTAATTCCTTAAAAGAACTACTGCTATTTTTTTTAAAATCAAAAACTTTTCATTTCAGATTTTAAAAAGGGTAACTTTTTATTGCATTTGCTGTTGTTTCTATAAATGACTATTGTAATGCCAACATGACACAGCTTGTGAATGTGTAGTGTGCTGCTGTTCTGTGTACATACAGTCATCAAAGTGGGGTACAGTAAAGAGGCTTCCAAGCATTACTCTAACCTCCCTCAACAAGGTATACCTCAGTTCCACGGTTGCTAAATTATAAAATTGAAAACACTAACAAAATTTGAATAAATCAATACATGTTTTATAACAAGGTATTACAAATTCACTGTGTTATTTAAGAAAAATGGTAAGCTATGCTTAGTGCCAATAGTAAGTGGCTATTTATAAAGCAGTGTTTTAGCTTTTCTTCTACTGGCTTGTAATTTAGGGAAAACAAAAGTGCTGTTTTGAAATGGAAAAAAAAAATGGTGTCACCCCCCACCTCCCTTTCATCTTATATCCGGGTCCCAAAATATCGCATACTTAAGTAGTACTTTTTTCTTTAAGGTGTGCTGTGTTTGGGAAATATTTGAAAACATAAAGCATGATTTAAATTTTTTTAAGTGAGCTGTGACACTGGAAAGCTCTTCATTTTATCTTTGAAAATAGATTTTTTTTCTTATTTATATGTGTAAAATTGTGTATTTCTTCTTTTCACCAAACAGTGTGTGGGATATTCTTATCACTGTTTTAGGATCACCTCAGGAAATGTCGTGACTCAGAACTCTTCACTCTGCTTTGAGACTTGTACCTTTATCACTATACTGTGTGGTGCCATCTTGTCAGAGTAATATTTGATGTCTGTGATACGAAGAGAATTATCTTAGGATAGAGATAGTGACCTTTAAGCACAGATTTCAGATATTACTGCTTTAAAGCAAATCAGGGATAACAAGTTGAACTTATAACTTAAAATATGCAATGACATTTAGAGGTAACCAGTGCTGGTATAAGGAACACAGCCTAGCCTACTCCCGAAGTTACTTTTACAGCTAACTCTAGATAGTTCATACCTTATCCTTGTGAAGAAAATTGAACTGATGACAAGTTGGTGCCAGAGTGCTTTTAAAAACATTAGAATACGATTGGATTCTTCCTTAAACTTACACAGGCCCAAGTAAAAGATTAATTCCCTGAATGTTTAGATTGCCAACAAATAGCCAGTATTATGTTATATACATTTTTTGTCGAGTCACTTTAACATCCATACATTAATTTTATAAACTTTTTACATGTTAATATCAGGAGCTCACTGTGAATGCATTATCTTCAGATGGCTAAGACATCATACACTACATTTTACATAAAATGTGCATTAATCTCTGGGAAGAATAAATTGATAAATAAATAGGTCAGCAGACTCCAAGCAGGGAGGGAAAGTAATAGCATTCTTGTCTGTATGCCGCATACTATAGAGAACTGTGCATTGTGTGTACCTAAGGTCCCACTCTATTCCTAAGATTGCCAAGTTCAGTGTTCACGGCTTTGATTTCTGTGTATTTGGCCTGTCAAATTCTTGATTTAGGTTTGCATCCATTTGTAAACTAATCAAGTAAAACCACTAAAAATATGCATACAAAGAAATTGCTACTCTCCATAAGCAAATTCCTATTGCTTATAAATACTCAACCTCCTTTAAAAAGTGATAAAAGATGGGTTAGGAAAGCACTACAAATAAATTTTATCAAGACTGGTTCATGATATAAAATGCTTTGTCTTCATGCTAGGAATTTTTTTTTTTTAAAGGAATCTTGGGTATTGTATGTAAATCTAGCTTATCAATTTTAAAACTTGTATTCTCTTGAGAACTACATTAACAGAAAGCCTTTTTTATAAGCAGTAAAGTAAGAATGTTCCAGTGACTACCTGTCCTTATACCTATTCTTGTTAAAACTTTCTTTTGCAGGGCATTTTAGTGTTTGGTTTACAGTAAGTGCAGAGTGGGCAGATAAAAAGATTGAGCTTAGGGACATTGAAAAAGGAAAATCAAAGATTAAAAGGATTTTTTTTTGAGGGAGATGGCAAACTTAGACCCCTGTAACTCTTCATGTGTATGGTGCTCATGACGTCTTGTACTTTGCCTTTCTGATACCCACCAGAACTGCTGCTCTTACTCTACCTTGCCCAGATCTCCCATGTGAGAAATGCTTTATGATCAACTGCCATAGGACTGATGGATTAACCAGTGTTTGAATTTATTTGAAGTCTATCTATGCCCTGCACAGATCTTGTATGTACTTTAGATGCTAGGAGTTTTAGCATGTGATTTGTGATTCTTGTTTGGACGTTTTATTACAGGTACCTTGTGAATTCCAGAACAGAGACTGTGCCTCACAATTATTGGTCCCATGAACTTGTACTACCTTTCATGGTGATATTCTGAAAATACAATCAAGAAAAACAAAACAAAAAAACACCAACACCTTTGGATTTAAAAATAGAATCATGTATCACAAAATTATGAAAACATTGCTTCTGTCCCCTTTTCTTATCCTTAATAGTCACCTTTAAGTAAAGTACAAATGGTTGGGGAAAATACCCTCACCAGAGAGATGGTAGTTTAGTGGAATAGACTGATTACTGTTTTCTAAAAAAATAAAATAAAATAAAAAAAAAAGAAAGAAAAAAATGCTTCATCAGATATTTTCCAGTTTCTCTTTTTTACTTTTTTGAAAAATTACTTTTTAGGAACATTTGGTATAATGTGCATAAAATTATTTACAATTTATGGACAAAGATACAAGTAGCATCTTGATTAAACATCATTTACCTCAGATATTCAACCAGCAGTACGTTTTTTATGCAGTCTCAACCCGTATCTCCCTATTTGTTACCTCTCAAAATATTGGTAAACAATTATTTTAGCTTTACTCTGTATTTCTCGTCAGTGTTTTGGGCACAGGTTGTTGTACTACTGTCATATTGTACTTGCTATTTTTTTTTTCTGCAAGTATTTAACAGAAAGCTAAAAATGAAAAAAATCCCCATAAAATCCCACCTTGAATAAGTGATTGTTAAATATTGTACAAATAAAATGTATGCTATCCCCATTCCATCCCCATGTTAAATAAAAAATGAATATGGTATTACTTGCACATGCAGTTTTTCTTTAGCTATGTGTGTAATGTTATTAAAGAGAGTTAACAGCTTTCTAGTTTACAGTGAGGCTTCTGTCTTGAGATTTTCAAGGGTGGGATAGTTGTAAAAGCAGGGAGGTTTGTGAATTAGGGCATTTTCCTTCCACTGTTGTCTAATCAGACTGTATTTCTACCCAAGCATCTATGTTGGTCCTTCCTGCCCATGGAAGGAACCCAGAAGCTTATTGGTAAAGTCACTGCATTTCATCAGATACTGTGTGTGCTCTTAGAACAACAGTGAAGGCAGTAACAAACCGCAGTGTCATCTAAGTGAAATAAAAAGGCACACCATGGTGCATTGTGTATGACTGCTACAGAAACTGTTTTGCATTGCACACTCTGCAATGTCTTACCTCTTTAGGTCAGTAGATACTATGTCCTAACATTGTAAGACACTGCCATATGGAAATCTGAACAACAGATTTTAATTTCTCAGAGACATGTCTGCATATAAATCAGAGATGCCTTTTAAACAAGATCCAAGTTTTCAGTAGGCCACATGGAGGACGCCTACATGGAAAGTCCTTTTTTGTTCTTCCATTGACTCAGGTTTTTTTTTTTTTTTTTTACAATTATAAGGTGAAACTAGTTAAAAATTGCTCATATATATGCCTGCACTTATATGACCATAATAGTACTGCTTCATTTTCATCACAATGACTAAAAAGTCTACCCAGCCCGTTTTTAGAGCTGAATATATAGTTGACAGATCTTCTCCAGCTTTTAAGCAGCATGTAAAGAAGTTTAAAAGTCTTAAACCATTTTATTAGGTTCCTCAATGAGGGATTTTTGTTTTGTTTTTTTGAGACAGGCACATGCTGTGTAGGCAAGGCTGGCTACAAATGCTTGGATCCCTTTTAACAACTCTCCTACATGGTGAGACTATAGACATCTTGTCCAGCTACAAGGTTTTAAAAGTAAAAAATTCCAGAGTGCATGAATCTTATGTAAGTGGGAAATAGTAAGATCTGGAGAGGACAGGAACCCCACAAGGAGAGCAACAGAACCAGAAAATTTGAACACAGGGGTCTTCCCAGAGACTCATACTCCAACCAAGTATCAGGCATGGAGATAACCTAGAACCCCTGCACAGATGTAGTCCATGGCAGTTTAGTGTCCAAGTGGGTTACACAGCAATGGGAACAGGGACTGCCTCTGACATAATCTGATTGGCCTGCTCTTTGATCACCTCCCCCTGAGGCGGGAGCAGCCTTACCAGGCCACAGAAGATGACAATGCACCTGATGTGATCTGATAGACTTAAGATCAGTGGACTTGGGGAGGGGCATGTGTGAAGAAGGGGGAGGGAGGGGAGAAGGGAGGGGCTTATGGGGGGATACAAAGTGAATAAAGTGTAATTAATAAAATTAAAAAATAAAGTGTAAAAAAAATAAAAAATTGCTTTTATTCAATAGTATGTTAAAAACTTTGAAAAAAAAAAACAACCTGAAAATGTGTTGACTATGTCATCAAAGTACTACGCAAGCCTTAGACTTAGTTACTACAGAAATAAAACAAAAAAGGTAGTCTTAATACATAGAAGGCCAAACATGTTTTACTACAGGAGAGGCTGTGCATGAAGAAAGTGGGTTCTAACTGTGAGGTGCTACTTTAGTGCACGGAAATTTAACATTTAAGATTTCTTGAGAGTCAAGTTATTTCTTACAGTATCCCGTAAAAATGGTAAAAAATAAAATAAAGTGTTGCTGGGCTCTACTTTTTAGTAACATGGGCTTTTGAGTCAGACAAACCAAGCTGCATTCTAGGCCACACCAGTCATTCTCAGCGGTGATCCTGGACACCTAACCCCTGGTGTGTTAGTTTTCTAATCTGTAAATAAGATCACTTAGTTCTGCAGCTAAATAATTTATATATTACACACAGATGGGTTATATATTTTATAAAATCTTACTATGGGCAAATAAGGATTCAAATATTCTTGAACCAAGGAAGGCACTGAGTGATTAACTTCCATTTTAAACTTCAACCTCTGTTAGTTGGTTGTAAGTCTGTGGATTTAGGAGGTGGACCTTTGACTGACATTCATGTTCTTAGGGAATCCCTTTTTAAAGCAATTAGCTAATGTCACAGGTGGTATTCATTATTTGTGAATGTAGATACCTAGGAATCCTGTAAGGTATTAGAAGGTAATTCTGGTCCCTTCTGAACTCCAGTACACCCAGAGTGAACATTTATAAAATTCCTACAAGAGCTATGCAAGGAAAACGCTGAGTTGCTTGGAGTCCTTCCATACAAGTTCTTCATCCCAAGTGGGCTAGTCTACTAAACTAGAACCCTGAGGATCTGTATAGGATCCAAAGTTGACACATTCACAGGAAAAACAGTCTCTACATGCTCCTATTCTAGCTGGAATATTCCTCATGTAATTTCTGTTCTTATTTGTCTCCTGACTGCTTAGGATTATTATCTGTAAACAAAATGCATAGTTGAAATAAACTTTTCCACTGGACCACATACATCCTACAAGAGTGTAAAAATCATCATATGGACCATCAGTAAAAATCACATTTTATTCTTTTGAACTGCTATTCTGTAGTACAATTTAAATCAATGAAATTGTGTAGATGTGTAGTCACAATTCAACACATAGTCAACATAGTAAGTGTAAGTTTCCATAAACAATATTTATAAGGAAAGGAATGTAGTAACATATCTTGTTAAAGACAGTAACTTTCAAGTCGTTATAGAAATGTACTTAAAATGTTCACAGCCAGTTTAGTGAGGATGTTGCCCATTGCCTAACGTCTGTAGGGCAGTTGGAGTATTTCTGTAGAGCATTCATAATTTGAGTATTATCCAATAGTAGTTTCACTAGCTGGTATTCTCTCTGAGAATTTACTGAAGTTCTTTCCATGGGTTTTACTAATTCCAATTGTTGTAAGTGCTCAAACGCCTGAAAGATAAAAGACAAAGCTTAGACTGAAGGGGGGAAATGTTAAATCCAGAGGCTAGTTACTAGTTTTTGGCCAGGTGTGAAACAGTGGCAGGTAGAAAAAAGGCACATTTGAAGTGCCTTTTACCCAAGTGCCCCCAACTCCATGCACACTTGCATTTACATTAAAAAAATTTTTTAATAGTCCTGGCTATGTTGGAACTTGCTTTGTAGACCAGGCTGTCCTCGAATCAAGAGATCTACCTGCCTCTGCATCCCAAGTGCTGGGATTAAAGGCGAGTGGCACCAGGCATGACTCTAAAATCTTTTTCTTAATAAAATTCAATTTTGTTCATTACAGACCAGAGGTAAGAAAGAATGGAAGAGAACAGGAAAGACAACAACAGAGTTAAAATTACTTTTAGGGATAAAACGCTTTGCCTAGGACCACCAAACCCAAGTGTAATCAACTCTATAAAAACTGCACATTGGGAAAAAGTGTTTTAACACACACTTATGTGTCCCCATAATGCTCAATGTAAATCAAGCAATTTTACCTGACCCTTAATCATATGGTTTTATTTCTAGGCCAATTCTATTTCAGGTTCCTCTTTGACTTTTTAGTGCTGGGTGGTGGACACTGTACCTAAGTATTATTCATGTGAACTATAGTACTTTGTCAATTACTCTGATACTAAAAACTTAATAATCTGATAAGACTTTCTAATTAGATAGGTTACTATAATGTGGATTTTGTTTCAACCTCAATAAAGCCTACTGTACATTAAAGTACAGCAATATAGCAATAGATCAGTATCCCACTTAGCTTCCATCAGAAAAGCTGTCTCCTGCAGCAGATGGGAACTAAAAGAAAGACCCACAACTGGACCATGTCCAGAACCAGAGACTTAGGAACACTCAGTCCTAATGGAGGTTTTTTTCATCAGACCCCTCCCCTTTATGGCTCAAGGAAACTCTGGAAAAGGAGGTAAAAGGATTGTAAAAGCCAGAGGAAATGAATACCAAAGGAACAGTATCTTCCAGACACAACAGGACTGAGGAACATGAACTCGAGAGGCTGTGCCTACAGGCACTCGGCATGTACGGGTCCAAGCCACACTGTGTCTCAGGGCTGGACGGGAAGTAGACTCCCCATCTCTAACCAAGAACTAGCTCCAATCGGCAACCGCTTGTAAACAAAGAATTAGTTTCTCCAAGAGTGCCTGTGCAGAAAAACCACACTTAAGGGCAGGGACCATGGCCAGTAGCAGATAGCCAACACAAAATGTGTGCATTGCAAGATATATTATTTTTTTAAATCTCATATGGTTTTGTTTGCGTATTTTCCAATTACCAGTCTTCTGCTTGTATATTATAGTTTACAATTTTGTTTTTATAGGTTCTGTTTGTGTGTTGCTCTGCCTGTGTATGTCCTTTCCCTTGTTGCTTTTTCTTTTGCTGTTTTTCAGTTTGTTTTTTTTTTCTGTTTTATCCTTGTCTTTTCCATTTGCCTGTCTTCCTAAGAGAGGGACAGGAAGTGTGGAACTGGAAGGGTGAGGAGGTGAGAAGAATCTGAGGAAACAGAATCCATGACTGGAACCTTCTATGAAAATAACTACTTTCAAGAGGAGTAAAAAATATAAAAAGAAGGAAGTTTAAGAGCTCTAACACAGGGAGAGGTAAGAAAGACCTGAGTACAGTGAGGCCTATTGAGCTGATCCTGCAAGCAAAGGCTCTGTGAGAAGGTGCAGACCTGGTGGGAATGGTGCTATTTTGTCTAACCACTAGCCAACAAAGTTCTTCTTAGTCTCCTTAATGGAGCTCTTTTTTACTTGCTTCCTTGACAATTGTTTAGGTATGTTATTAAGGCAAGAAAAAAAATATACTCTGGTGACGTACTAAAACTGACACACTGCAGGAGATTCTTGAGCATTTTATTTTTACAGTTCCCTGTGAATATATCACTGGAATATATCCTGTTTATCATAAAAATTCTTATGCGCAGAAAAAAAGCTCAAAGGCCATTCATTTTGAAAAATAAGAGAATATAAGGATTTTCAGGTATTGCCGAAGAAAACTGAAAAAATACTTCTAAGTTACTCTATTTTAAAATGAGCAGGTACTTATTATTCCTAAACATGCTCAGGTACTCTTTTCACAAGCAGATAGGAGGCTAGAAGAATCCACCCTCAGGAAGCTGTAACTGCTGCTGCTTGAAGAAGTGGCAAGACTCAGTGCTCACTTCAGAAAAAAATGCTACAGAAGAAATTCTGACTCTGCTTTATAAGGAATAGCGAAGTATCAAGCTTCCACTGCTTACAAATAAAAACACGTTTACTCTTACACGGAGCCACACTGTGCCAAAAGCATAGGGTAATCTGGACTTTGAATTGCGTGACTCTGTATTTACATTTTATTTAATTTCATTATATATAAACGTAAAATGCTGAGACTAGAAAAATGAGTATATTTGGTACAGTTCTAAAATGTAAATATTTTTTTAGCTGTATATTTAATGAATTGAAAGGAACAAATTTCTACTGGATATTTATTAAATTGGGATCTGCTTTAATTTTGTAAAATATACCAATATTTAAAGATACAAAATACTTCATGAAATATTTAATCATAAATTTTGAAATATTTTTAATCAACTGGGTTATACAGTTACAGTTATTTGATTTTTATTTCCTATGCCTACTAGAAAAGCTAAAGCTATATATCCAATTCACATTTTCTTTGCAGTGAAGGAGTGTACTTTAGGATATCTGCCTTAGCCTAAATCAAACTTAATATCTTGTAACTGCCAACTTGTGGATTGGAAAGGGTCATTACAGTTGGTGTGTTTGGTAAGGCAATGATCTGTTCCTTTTCTGTATGCAACTGCTAAGAACAGACAGCAGAGGGCAATATATCTTCACAAACTGAAATAGGCTGCCTATAAAATTATTGAAGCATTTCTTTATCAAATCTTGCTTTGAAAATTTCTATAATAAAATACCTAAGAGTTCAAAAAGTTAGGAGATATATTAAAAAAAAAAAAAAATCACCAGACCTGATAAAAAGTACAAGCAAATCAAGCCATACCTTCATGACCACAGGTTTCTCAAAGTTATAAACAGAATGGGCCTTTCTTTGAATAAATTTCTGAAACTCTGTAGAATAAGAATGAGACCATTAGTACTCTCAAAGACATAGGAGGGGAGAGATCTAGAAGAAAATGACAAACTTTTCATCTTACCATTATACACCATTTGAAAATTAAAGGGCTCCTCTTCATAGATGTCATTTAAATGTTTCATTGCTATTATAAGACAGATTTCCAAGACTGAAAGACCTATAATAAAAGGGAGAAAGACTCTTGAGTTGCAGCTAGTAGTCCATGACACTAAAATAACTGTCCTCCTGAAAATAAATCAAGGCTTTGAAGGGTAGAGTAGATCAGCATTTCTCTGTATTTAAATGTATTCCAACAACTATTATCTACAAAACCACAGTAAGTCTCTTAACTTCTCTGAACACAGTTGTTGTTACTGGGTTTTGTTTTGTTTTTTTCCTTTCTTTCTGGGAGTCGGGATGATCTGCAAAAGTTTTTTTTTTTTCTAAACATAAAGGGATGTGTTATAAGTATAAAAGATTTGATACTATAGGCTCACAACAAATAGAAATTGTGATTATCATGTAATTTCAAATAACATAGGCCTTTGGGGATCATTTAAAAGAGGAATTCTGGAAATTCTATCTAAAACTGTATGTATATTCCCCACCTCCTCAAACACAGTGGAGAGAAAAATATTCCATTTTCAAAAGGGATAGCGAACCCCAATAGCCAAATACAGAAAATACAGTAGCAGTTAGGATGAGCAAGGGGAACATCAGTAATAGTCCTACTAATAGTCCTGGAATTCCCATGTGGCATGGGAGGCAGAACAGAGTTTCTTTCACTTTAAGTAAGAGTTAATACACTGCATAGTACTGATTGAAAGCTGCAGCTTTATATGTTTATATATATAAGGTATTCTGTATACAAAGTACCATGTTCAAACTAATTATAATTTGAGGAAGCTTCTATATTTAAATGTTTAAAATCCAAAAATCAAAAGAAAGACTAACAAAGCAGATTCTCACCATGTACAATACTTGCTTTAGAATCCAAGCTACACAAGTGCTGTGCCTCCATCAGATCTGCTGAAGTTATAAATGGGTGTGATACGGTTACTCGATTTAAAGCAAGCATCTAAAGAAAGGTGCATTAAAATTACTTATTTAATGGAATATTTTGAAGATACTGAAGAACAATTTTTAAATTGTATGATTTATTCTTGTAAGAAGCAAGAGAAGATTAATCTCAAAATTTGTTCCATTAAAATGTAACAATGATTCAGTTCATATGCTGCCGTCTCTACTACTTTGCACTTGAGCCATATTTACTTATTCTCAAAAAAAAACTATTTACTTATTCTTAAAAAAAAGTCCAATAAAAAAAAAAAACTGAATACTAATCAAAACTCAGACACAGAGACCTTAAAAAAGTACCTGTGCTTTATACAAATGTTTACAAATAGTCTGTTAAGGTAAGTAAGTGCAATTTAGAAGTTGGTATTTTTGAAATCAGTAATAAACTTAGAAACAATTATCTGCTTCATTTATTTTTTCTTAAGCAAATATCAGCTTTAGGGACTACGTTCTAATTAACAATTTCAACTTATTTAATTTGTATTTTGAATACAAGTATTTCGGGTTTGTAGATGTTACAGACATACAATGTAGCAACATATATGTATATATATATGTCTAACAAACATACAATATCAATTAAATATGCACTTCAGATCCTCTATAGTTAAGAACAAGAGACTGAAAGTCCGTGGGCTTCATTCTTCTTCAAGTTAGAATTCAGAGCATTTGTAGCTCTTTCTTCTTCTACTTTTTGTTTATTAAAAGATACTGCTTACATAAAAAAATAAATAAAATAATATACCTATGTAACACACCATACTTTTATATTTTATAAAATATACCTTTCATACAGCTGAGGATACTGTGTTTGTTATAATGCACCCTTTGCCACATAAAACAGCCAAGAATATCTTAATTTTAATATATTCATAAAAACTTTGTACTTCTATTTATAGGTATTACTAGATGATACAGTTAACTTTCAAGCCTTTTATAAATAATGTAACCTAGTTTTAAAACTCATCTTTCAATGAAAATCTATTGAAAATTAATGCACATTGAGATTTCAATTCCAGTTCATTCCTTTTCTACTGTACTCCTTTATACATACCCACTATTCCTCATTTCCTGTTGATAAGCACCTATGATTTTCATTTTTTGTAATGATAAACAAGGTGAAGTAAGAAAATCTCACACATGTGTGGATGGATGGATACATAAAGATTCTTAATCTAAAGATTCTAAAGAACCTTACTCCATAACTTCATTTTGTATATATATATATACATATATTTATGCATCAATAAATAATATTTATACATATGTACAATCAGGTAAAGAATAAAGGTATTTAAAAATACAAACCAATAGCATATGTAATGATCTCAAGTTTTTGTTGACATTGAAATGTTTCTGTAGAACTTCACGCACAGTTGAGTCTTCTGAGAGAGACTAAAACAAAATAAATAAATAAATAAATAGATAAATAGATAAATAAATAAAATATGGATAATATAACTTCACCCCAAATTTCCAACCCACCATGAGGAAACTATATAATCAAACTAGTGGGATGAATGAACAGAATGTAGCACAAAGCACAACAGAGAATGAAGAGTCCTTATGCTGAAAAAAAAAAAAAGAGGAATCATCATAGTAAGCAGTTCTTTGTATAAGGATACGATAGAAAGAAAAAGAAAGCCTAATTAGAACCAATTACAACTGTGGAGAGTATTTAGACATTTATAGAAGACTTGTCTGATGAAGCCCTCATTGACAAGGAAAAAATAAAAAAATATATTTAAAAAGAATAAAACCATAAAGATGAACTATTATGGGGGTGGGGTAAGCAGAAGATCTGGGAAGGGTAAGATGTGATGAAGTGAGCCTTCAGTTATAAGTAGTAGATGAAAAAAGAAGATACTCAAGCTTAGAAGAATGTACAACAGACCATAGTGATCTAGAAAAGAAAGTGTATTTGTTATTTTTCTTCTTTCTGAGAAAAAACACCTAACAATAAAGCAGCTTAAGGAAGGGTTTATTTTGGCTCTACTTTTGAAGGGTGCAATCCGATGCAGAGGGGCAGGCAGGGTGACGGAAGCTTGAGGCAGCATGAGCCAGTGTATAAGTTGTGTCAGGAAGGAGAAAATGACAAATGGTGGTTCTTAGCTCACCTCCTCCTTCCCATCTAGTATGGAACTCCAGCACATGGAGTGGTGGCACCCACATTCTGGATGGTTCTTCCCTCTGTAGTTAATGTTTTTCTGAAAATACCTTCATAGATAGATGCTGAAGTATGTCTCCATGGTGATCTATGCCTAGTCAAGCTGACATAAGGACTAACCATTAAACAAGCAAAGACTTGTCAAGAGGGAAGTGATAATCACAACACAATACAAACTACATTGTAAAAACTAAACTTGCTGCAAGCTAAGAAGATGCCAGTGGATATAGAAATGTGGAGGCCAAAAGGACCCTTTCTTTAAGCAAGAATAAAAGAGTCAATTCTAGAGAACTGGGATTCAATGGAAGGTAAGGAATATTTAGTCTGAATAAAACATTAGATGAAAAAAGTGAACTTACAGGTGATAGAGCAAGGTAAGATGTAATGACACTTGACAAAAATTTTCCAAAGTCATTTTGCTTGGTATAAAGGTTCTTTTTCCATAAACAAGTCAGAACAAAAATATTAACACTATAATGGCCAGCATGGCAGGATATGCCCATGGGAGCAGTAGTGGCACAAATATCATGAACTAGATTTAAGACCCACTCCACAGGAATCTCATGCCTACTACTGTAAATATGGCCAAGGACCCATGGTTGGAAAGCTCCCAGGAGTGAACCTGCTATTACTATTCTGCTATATGGACACTGTCTCAAACTGCCCTCTAACTTCCTATCTGGTAGATTAGTATAGGATTCAGACCTCATTAGAGAAGTTTAGGTAGCAGATGGTAGTTAATACTGAAACTCACAGCTGAGCAAAGTGCAGAGAGTCAGTGCGTGATTAGTGTTTGCCCAGAGGAGGCATCTATGTAGCAAAGCTCTTCCACAAAGTTCAAAGACCATCTCAGAAGAGGGGACGGAAAAATTCTAAGAGCCAGAGGGCAAGGAGGACCATAGTAGAACTGCTACATTCATAAATTCATGTCAGCTGTGGTCATCTGGATAAGACCAAACCTGTTAGCATTCTAGCATGGGACAGGAAGGGGTTCACAAGCTCCCAGCACTGGCGGAGCAGCTAGCACAGTTGACAGGTTTAGGAAAGGTACAGTCCTGGCAAGCTGGACAGCCTCCAGCAGATGGCTCCACAGCTAAGAGTAGACAGGCAGCACAAATAGGACAGAGTGGGTTATAAAAAAAAAAAAAAAAAAAAAAAAAAAAAAAAAAAAAAAAAAAAAAAATCAAAGGACATCGTACGACATTAAAAAAAAAAAATCAAAGACCTCTAAAAAATCCCAACAAATATAAAAACTGAACTAAACTCTATAAACAATGACAAAAAAAACCTCAGAGATATAACACCATGTTTTGTTTGTACAACTCAAAAATATCTAAATTACAGGAATAAGCTTTAGTCTCTTGAAATTTCACACTTTCAATACACACATTTTGTATTTCTTATAAAGAGCTTGTTGAAAACACAGGTGTATCTTAACAGACAAGCAAACAAAAACTTGCTACAATGTCAGCACTGGGGTAGAGGCTAGCTCCCCAAACCACCCTTACCACATTCTCACCCAATTAGGGACAGGGACTCTGGCCATGGTGCTGACATATTTTCCAAGTACATTTTATAAACACACCCATGGGAGGCAGCACAATATGACTGTCTTAAGAGAAAAAAAAAAAAAAAAAATTAAGAGCTTCAAGTTCTAATAGGGCTAGCTCTCCTTTGATCACTAAATCTGCAAGACTGTCACAAGGAAAAAGATCATCACTTACCATGTGCCATTTAAGTTTGGTGGCTATAAAGTCTGCAAAAACAACAACTAGAAAGCAGGAGAGCACGTAGTCAGGGAAGGAAATGGCACATGTTCCTAAGTAGCTTGGTAACCTCAGTTGAGGGAACCAAGAAAACTGCAGCTATGTCTTGGTAAGTGTGCTTCCCAATGGACAAATACTTCTTTGCGGCTAAACATCCTTGAAGTTAAAGTTAGTTCTTCACATAATATCAGAAACTAAGGTGCCAGGGAGCTTTCACATACTAAAGAAGGGCTTACATCCTCAAAAGAGCCTGGCATATGGGTGCTTCACAAGGATCACAGGAAATAAACAACCTAGAAGGGAGACCTGGTTCACCATGATTGCCAGGAGGAAGACAGTAACTCCACCTCATGATCATGCCATCCATAAATAGTCACAAAGTCTGAAAGGACTTAATGAGTTGCTACTCATTCTTCTGTCTGAGGCATCATGTTCCAGTCTCTCTCTGGACAAGACTGTCCTTTGCTGAATACATGTCTACCTAAATTGCATGTGTCTTGGCTCAATTCTTTACTTTGAGAAGATAAGACCAGACACCTTTACTTGATAACAAAACTAGACCAAACCTAGACCAGCCTATCATCAAATGTTATCCAATTTTAAATTCATCTAGACATTACCAGAAACCTCTATCATTCTTTATATATATTCATTGACCTGTATCTATAGGGTGCCTGAGTCACGGAAACACTTCAGCCAAATATAAGAAAATCCTGTTCTCAGATATGAAAAGGCACAGTATTTTGCATATAACCACTAATGTACATTTTTATACAACTCTGGATTACTTATACTGTACTCCTTGAAACTGATTTTCCTATATATTTTGTTACAGAAATAATTACTGTAAGTGAAGAAGTATGATTCAGAACAGAGTTAAACATAAAAAAAAATCATATTAAAGCATTGAACTCTGTTTAAAATAAAATTTAGTTTGCAAGTAAGGTGTGAAATGTAGCAGATCAAATAAACACGACTGGGACACAGTGTGGCACCAGTCTGGTTTCCTAGTATATAACAGGGCACTACAGCCTTGGAGAGTCACTTATCCAACCAATAAAACAAAAGCTGGAGTCGTGTGGGAACTGCAAATAAAAATACATATATAGGATAAATACGAACTGTCAATACAGTTTCTTTCTAAATTTGTAAAACATAGAAAATTTGAACTATGCTATTAACTAAAAATTATCTAAACTATAAAACAGATATAGATTAAAAACTCAACTACAGACATGACCACTAAAGCTTTATTTGAAGTTCTTCTAAAGAACTTCGTTATAGGAGAGAAGATATTTCTATTGCTTTTAAATAAGAAAGAGTTTATAACTTGCATTCTTCTAGTAACATGAAAAGATATACAAAGATTATATCTTTAGATTATTGCCTTCAATTTACCTGAACATTCTCATTCCAGCTCTCAGCAAAAACCTTATCTGGAAATTCTTCAGGTAGAGATAGTTGCTCTTTAAATATTTTCACATATTGTGGAAAACCAAATGAATTCATTAAATGTATCTGCCGGTGAGAAAACCGGGACTTTACTCTTTTTTCCAAGAGTTCCAAAATGTCCTGGAAAACAAAAGAGAAACCTGTAGAAAATGCATGCTGAAAAATATGCTGTAAGAAAGAAGCAAACTATAGCTTGTAATTACCAACACCTTTTTATAATCTACAAGTAAGCATTTTAATTTGAGGAGAATTCTCAAGCTTCCTAATGCTTGTAACCCTTTAATACAGTTCTTCATGTTGTGGTGAAAATTATTTTTGTTACTATTACCTAACTGTAATTTTGCTACTGTTATGAATCATAATGCAAATATTGGCTATAGAGGATGGTCTTAGGAGACCCCTTTGACAGGGTCATTTCAATCTCTAAATGGGTATAACCCAGAATGGGAAGCAGTGAACACAAAAAAGAAAAAAAGAGTTAAGACTTTCTCACTGAACCTGAACCTGCCTATATATAGCTAGATTGGCCGGCCTTGAAGCCATAGGGGTTCTCCTGTCTCCGCCTCCCCAGTGTTTGGTTTACAGTGGCCCACCATCACATCTGGCTTTTTATATGGGCGCTGGCAACTCAACTCAAACCTTCATGCTTATGCAGAAAGCCATTCCTACTTTCATCCAAAGGATTTTTTCTTATGTATATATGGCACACTTTTCAGAAATACAGGAGTTTATGTAAATGTGAAGGCCTGAGTAACATCCAGAGTATTCATCATGACTTTGCATCTTTCTTGTTCCTGTGGCAGAATTTGTCAATTGAGCCCAAAAATCTACCAATTAGACTAGTTTGGTCAGGTAACTTGTTCCATAGATATAGTCTAGGCCTTAAAATTCTGGAGTTGCAGGAACTTTGTTCCTCATACTTGACCAGCAGGAATTATGACTATTAAGCCCTCTCTCTGCCCAGCTTCACCTCCCTACCATTTTCTTAAAAACGTGTTTCTCTTAGCCTGCTGATAACTTCCCCTTTAAGGAAAAAAATAAATACAGAGTAACAATGATAGATAAATACAAGATATCACTCAGATCTGCTATGTTGGAAGAATGATCTCAAAGCCATAAAGAGACTAAGTATTAAGAGGTTGTCAAAGTCAGAAACTTTAGAAAAAAGCACCAAAGAAACAGAAAAATTTCATAGAAAAGCAGAAGGATTGAAAAGCAGAAAGAGAATTGAAAAAAAAGTTTTATAAAAAAATATAAGAGAGCCATAGAAAAGAAAAAAATGGTAATAAACGAGCCAGCCTTACATAATTATACAAGAGCGCTAACAGAAGACACAAATGGCTCTGGTGGTATAATCCCATAATCTGTGCTATTCAAGAGATTCACAAGTTCAAAGTATGTCTGAAACTCACAGTAAGTTCAAGAGCAGTCTAAGCAACTCACGAGTGAGATTCTCTATCAAAATAGGGAATATAATCCAGTGGTAAGAGTGCTTGCTTACGACATATAAGGTCCTAGATTCCATCTCAGAATTGGACAAAAAGCACAATAAAACAAAACAAAACAAAAAGTTAAGCACACAAAGACTCATGAAGCTGCTTAAAATTTTCAATAACTAGAATCTGGGTGAAATCATTTTAAAATCCAAATGCCAAAGGGAAAAAAAAATACTGACAGAATTTCTGAAGATATATTCTTAGTAAATTAATCCAAATTATGAAAATTATCTTGTATGAAAAAGTAAGAAAATATTACTAACTTATAAAACATAACTGGTATTACTTGACTTTTATTTACTTGCTATAGTAGAAACCACACTTACAATATCTGTGAATTTTATTCTATGATTTCATTAAGAGGATTAAACATAAGCTTATAATATATGTAGAAATTCTTTTCCTTTTTACCTCAAGGAAAAAGCAGAAAAAGAATTTCAGATACTTTTCAAAATATCTTAAAACCTACATTAAGTCAAATGGCTTATGCCAGGAATTACGTTTGAATTTTCTAAACATACACACACTCAACACACACATGCATACAAAAACATTTTATATACATATGGAAAGACTTACCAATCTACATGTAAGGCCAATAACTGCTACTGGTGTCTGTGCAGATTGAGAAATGTCAAAAAGATTATAAAGGAGTGTTTGGTTTTTCTGATGAGCAAAAAGATCAAATTCATCCAGTATGAAGATTACTGGGCAACTGCTGGTCCGGTCACCTAAGAAAAATTGATTTTCAGATTAACAAAAAAAAAAAAAAAAAAAAAAAAAAAAAAAAAAAAAAAAAAAAAAAATCAAATCAACTTTTCTTAAATTTCCAAAATGCCATGCATCAGTTTAAAATTCAGCTCAACACACAACAATAAGTTACTCTGGGCAAGGCATTTATAGATGCAAGTTTACTTCTACGTAAAAAGTTATCCATAGGAGAAAGATAGTCATTATTGTTCTAAAGTAGTTTACAGTCTAGTTACAGGAGTAAGCAATTTGATGAAAAAATTGAGAAGACATTTGCAAGATAATTTTATAATTATGTAAGTACATTTCCTTAATAATTACAAAATGACTTTTGAATACCATCAAATACTTCTGAAATAGAAGTCACCTAATGAGAGAAACCTATTGTTTCAAAAGAGACATATTTATCTAGTACAATGCACATTCTCATTTAAAGTTTTCTTTACAAACATCCATTAGAATATAAAGTGCAATAAAAAAAGAAAACCCACTAAAATTCTTGTAACTACAGGTTTTAATATTTCAATTAGGAGGAAATGTTATGACTCAATGCATTTTCTCTCTATTGAATAGAAACTACTTTAACAGAAAAATCATTGAAACTTTAGGAATAATTAACATCTATGTAAAATCTTTCAGGCACAGATTAAGAGATTTATTTATCCAGATAATTAAACATAACCTGAGCTTAAACAGTTTAATTTTGGCAAGAGAACAGAAGAAAAACCACTGAAACCTAACAGAACTAGGAAATAATACAGAAACAGTTTTGTAAAGGATGGCTAACATCTCAGTGGGGAAAATGGCTTGTTCAAAGTCAAAGTAGTACATAAAAAAATAAATCTGTGGCCTTGTTGGCATGTGCAAAGAATCCTAGCAATCTGGAAGGTAGGCAATGGATGATAACGAGTTTAACAGTCAGCCTTAGAACATGATATGCCAAAAAAAAGGGGGATTGCTATCCATGGGAAGGAAGTGAGGTAAGAGGAAGGCACAGGGAGGAGAGGAGAAGTGGAAGCTGCAATCTGGATGCAAAGTAAATAAATAATAAAAATATTGAGACAAAATAAAACAAATAATCAAAAAGAGTCAGACTCGGCTATAAAGTTTGTGCAAGGCCAACCTGGGTTACTACAGGAGATAGTGACTCAAAATAAAAAAATCCAATCAAATTATCACTTAGAAATATGTGTATTAAGTGGGAATACTGTTAAGTATTTTTATAATTTGAAGGAGAGAAAACAGCTTCTAAATAAAATTATCTAAAAATTTAAGACTTCTATTAAGTCAAGAAATACAAATATAATTTAAAGCAATGAAACACAAGAAGTTCTATAAGTAAGTGTGAAACAAATGCCACCAAAATAGAGCGAAGAACCATTTGGAAATAACCATGGTCAGTCAAAATATCAAATAAATAGGCATCACCACAAACGAGATCATGCAATTTAAACAAAAAACAAAATTATAAAAATGGAATGTTGCTTATTTTCTATGAGCTAGCCAAAGATAAAGATTAGTAATGGTTTTAGAATTCTGAAAAGAACAAATATTCTCAAGCATGCTTTAAAAGATAGTTAAGCAATATTCATTTCAAAATGGTACTTTTTTAAAAAAATATTTTTAAAAAAAATACTTTATATTAATTACACTTTATTCACTTTGTATCCCAGCTGTAGCACCCTCCCTCATTACTTCCCAATTCCACCCTCCCTCCATTATCTCCTCCCATTCCCCTCTTCAAGTCCACTGATATGGAAGGTCCTGTTCTCCTTCCTTCTGATCTTAGCCTATCAGATCTCATCAGGACTGCCTGTATTGTCTTCTTCTGTGGCCTGATAAGGCTGCTCCCCCATCAGGGTGAGGTGATCAGAGAGCCAGCCACTGAGTTCATGTCAGAGACAGCCCCTGTTCCCATTACTAGGAACCCACTTAGAGACTGAGCTCTTCCAGGTCTTTCATAAGATTCCCTGCACTGTGCCCAAAGTTTGGCTGTGAGCCTCAGAATCTGCTTTGATACACTGCTGAGTAGAGTCTTTCATAGGCCCTTTGTGATAGGCTCCTGTCCTGTTCCCTGTTTTCTCCCTCTTCTAATGTCAAAATGGTACTTTCTAATCTAAAATTCTACCTATTATAACCTATTCAGGAAAATACATGGATAATCTTTCAAACATTTTTTTTTCCTGGTTATAAAAACAAAAGCCATACTTAGCACGTGACAGGCAAATGATCTTATTCTTGTTTGTTTGATATATGGTCTCCTATTCTTCCTATCTTGAGCTCCCAAGTGCTGATTACAGGTGAACAATTTTAGCCTTTTAATTTTTAATTCATTAGTGTCTCTGAATGATGGCTACATGTACAGCTTCTAGTGTGTTATGGTGAGTGTGGGGAAGTCAACACCTTTAGAAGTCAGCTTTTTCCTTACATCTTGGCTTCAAGGTGCAAACTCAGGTTGTCACACTTGTATGGCAAGCACTCGTACTTGCTAAGCCATCTCATCTGTACTGATTTGATCCCTGTAAAAAGCTACATTCAAATCCACATCAGTGATATGTGGCAGCTGAATAAAAGAAAAACAGCAAATACTGAAAATCATCATTACAGTGGTGGTCCTACAGCACCCGTTAGATTATTAGTTTAATTCCTGTAACTTTTTTCTTTCTTTTCTGCTTCCTTTTTTTCTTCTTTCTTTCTTTCTTTTTTGTAAAAACCGGTAAAACTTAACCAATCAAGAGACGACAAATGTCAAAGTAAGTATCTTTTGAATTTTAATTTTTTACAAGTATCTTGAACATGTACCTTTTTTTAAAGCTTCCAGAAGAAATGAAAGGTTTTCGGCAAAGCTGCCCTGAAAAACAAAAATAAGTAAGAATGGAGTGCGATAAAATAAAAAACGCTGACTATTAAGATATTTGCAAAAAAAACATGCATTGCTTTTACTAGGAAATTAGCCACTGAATAAATTCTTAGTTAACATCTGCATTAATTATCCATAACTTAAATACAAAAATAGAAAAGGTAATATCCTGAAAATGGCAGTAGTATATCACATGTGAAATTTCATATTTTCTATATAATACAGAAAGAAACGTTAGATAAAAGTGTAGTATCTGGAGGATTGCTAACGTCTAAGTATAGCTGGAAACAAGAAATACATTCTGCTTTATATCTAAGCACAACATATTCCTAGTCTCAAATTAATCTGTACCACCAAAACACTCAGTATTAAATAAAACCTATTCCAAAAAGAAATAAAAAAAAGAGGAATTTGCTTAAAACATTAAAGTTTTTCTACTCAAGAACAACTATTTACGAATTTCATTTATTATACCAAATTTATCTGGTTTTATTTGGAACACATCTAAAATGTTTTTGGACAAAACTTAAACATAAACATTGTAGAAGAAATCAATAGAGTAGTGGATAAATTACTTAGATATTCCAGAATTTGGATGAAGACCTCTTGAAAATTTAATTAAAATGACTAGTTTGTATTTCATTCAGGTATCCCTGGGTAAATAGGTGTAATTAAAAACAAATCTGGGCATGTGCACATGAGTGCAGAGGCCAACAGTATTGATTTCTTGACCTGGAGTTAAGAGACAGTTGTGAACCACCTGATTACTAAGAACCAAACTCATGTCCTCTGGAAGAGTGTCAAGTGCACTTTATCACTGAACCATCTCTCTACGCTCTCATTTACCTATTTTAAGGAAAAAGTCAACTTTAAATTTAAGGAGCTATAACAAGAGAAACGAAACTTAATCGGTTTTTTCCTCTACCTGAAAGAACTTGATATCGCATAAAGATATAATTTTTTAAATTTATTTGTTTGTGTGTTTGTGCACCAAAATGTACATTTGGAGGTCAGAGGGCCATTTGCAGGAGATAACTGTCTTCTTCTACCTTTAAGTGGGTTCTGATAGATTGTCAAGTTGAGTAGCAAGTACCTCCTCTCAAAGAACCATCTCACCAGCCCAGTATAAATAAACGATTTCTAAGACACATATGTAATAACCACATGCTATTTTGTCAGTACTACTACCCAAGAAGTATAAACACAATTTACTATAACATAACACTGGCTCACAGAGATAATCTGTCTGGAAAACAGTGGTCAGTTATTTACTCAAAGATATTTTGTCTTCTTGTTTGTTCAACAGACCATTATATATCATCATGAAGAATATATATATACATATTCAAATGTATATAATAAAGTATATGTATATATACACACACATATATATATATGTCTAGCTGCATAATGTACTTATAAATACACTGACTGGAAGATTGAATACAGTTAAGCACTGGCTTAAGTGACTTTTGCTTTATGTCCAGACTTCACAAACTTTTTGAGTTTAGAGAAAGTACTTAGTCTCTGCAACTTAAAACTAATCTATAAAATATAGAATATAAGCTAATAATTTATTAACAGCCATCCCTTGTCATTTTGGAGGATTAAATCTCGGGCCCCTTCTCACACCCATGGACATCAAAATATAGCTGCTCAATACCTCTACATAAAATACCATAGTATTTACAAATAAACTGCACAACATTGTCCATCACCTCTATATTACTCTTAGTATCTAATAGAGTGCAATAGTATCTCTCATATTTCATATTCACTAATTTAACCAAAATTCAGACAGAGGCACAAAAGAGAAGATCTCAACTGAAGAATGGCTTCCTTCAGATTGGCCTGTGAGCATGTATGTGAGGGATTTTCTTGGCTGCTAATTGATACAAGGGGGCCCAGCTCACAGTGAGTTGAAACAATTTCAGGCAGATGAGCAAGACAAAGAAAACAAGCCAGTAAGCAGAGTTCCTCCATGTTCCTCCTCTGCTCCTGCTTGAGTTCCTGTGACCTGGAAGCATTTAACCAGACTATTAACCCTCTGACCACCAGAGTAGTTTTGGTTACTGTGTTTCAACATAGCAACAAAAAGCAAACTAGAACATTATCTAGATATTATTTATTAGCTCTTCTAATGCACTGTTCAGCAAACAGTAACAAAGTACAAAGTCTGTACAGGTTCAGTATAAACCCCCCCCCCCCCCGAAAACCTTCAGTTTGCTATTGGTTGCATACACAGATGCACAAACTAAACATACAAAGGATTGACTGTCATAACAATAGCAATGATTAAAATAGGATGGTAATATAACTGTCTCTTCTATTCCTTTACACAAATATAGTACCAATATACCCACACAGGAACATTAGAAATAACTCCCCAGATCATTTGGAAATTAAAACCTATAACTGAGTCTAAGAGGAACTCTTTCTGACCAAATAGTAAGTAAGCGATGAGCTTTGAATTATATTCTAAATAAAAGGTAGAACATACTATTTATAAAAGGGAAATATTTGCTTTACTATCCAGCGGCTTGTAGAGCAGGAAGACAGCATGTGGCTGGCTCAACTTTTCTCTGAGATGCTAAGCAGCATACACAGCTATGTTCAGATCACTGCGGTTCAGAGCAAACAGTGACAAGTAAGAGTGAGAGCACATCAGGGAAAGCAGTGACCAGAAAATAAACTTGGGACATGTGTATGTCTGCTCCACATGCAGTCTCCGGATAGTAGATTAGAACATGGATTACTCATGTTTTCCTTAGACCATGTAAGTTAGGCAGTTTAATGAGATATTCGAACCCTTCCAATCAGACTGGCACTATCAGGGTCTTGAGACTTCAAGGCACACCGTAAGTGATGGAACTGAAATAAGCAATGTTCATACAGCACATTAGCATCCAGCAGAGTAATTTAAAAAAGAGGAAGCTTACCTAAGGTTCTTCCTGTGTTTAGAATAATCTTGTAAAATACACAAAGCACATCTACTTAATACAGAATCTGAGAGACATTTATCAGCCAACAGCCTAATATCATCACCAGGGATCAAGTCACGGTGACAAAGGAGTCAATAATGCCATTCTTAAATTCAGCATATTATCCACCATGCCCATGCCACTTCATAAGTCTTGATTTAAAAACACTTTTACTTAAGCCAATAATCAAAAAATCCATAAAAAACAATCTTGAAAATAAAAGTTTGATGACTAAATGCATCCTCATACATTACATCTCTTAATAACAAAAATCTTACACCAATTTCTAATATATATATATATAATATATCTAATTTTCTAATGTCTCTTCTAACTTTCCAAATGATACTTACAAAAACTTTATCTCCAACTACATTTTCTAGATTTAATTGCCTTGTGATCTCCTTCAGAGCAATTTTATCATTTATCTGCAGCAGTCCTGAAATATAGCCAAATTAAGTGTCTGATTAAAATGAAGCAAGTATTTGATATAGATCATTTTTTAAGTAAATATATGTTTCATTGCTTTTTAAATTTAATTAAAAAGAAAATAAACAGTGTGCTAGCTTATATTACTTCCTCTAATAAAGTAGTAATCAAAAAACCATTCCTTGGAAACAGCACTACTTAAAAAAAAAAAAAAAAAAAGTATACACTAGCTGGGTATGGTGGCACACACCTATAATCCCAGCACTCTGGGAAGCAGAGGCAGGTAGATCTCTGTAAGTTCATGGCCACCTTGGTCTAGAAAGCAAGTCCAGGACAGCGAAGGCTACACAGAGAAACCCTTTTCGAAAAACAAAATAAAAAGAATACACTTTTTCCTTACACACTTTCCTTTATTTAATTTCTAAAGGCCATGAAACTTCCAGACAGTTTTACAAATATTATTTCTTGGGAAAACAATGATATACTCACCATTTAGGTGAACTTGTAACACATTTTCACTCACTTCTCTTATTTCCATGAGTTCTTTCAAAGCATGATTTAATAACTAAATATAAAAATGTGTAAAACGGTTAATATGGGAAAGATAAATGAAGCCTTTGTTCTTTTTTTAAAATAATGAATGCTGAGAATCAAATATAAACAAATAAATCATTTTATATAGCTAAAGGTTTAAACACTGACAACATACTATGTCTAAGTCTTAAGATACCAGAGGCTAACTGATACTATAAGATCTTAACAATTTACCTAAACTTGTCTTAAACTTTGGAAACAGCCCCAAAGTTTTCTCTATATTACAGATTAACCTACTGTCCTTTGTGATTTTTATGTCTCTGCATTTTACTATTTAGTAACATTTGCTCTATTTATCACTGAAAGCAGCTGAAAGCTATAGAAAAAAACAACATAAATGGTTGTCCTCCAATGTCAATCCTATGAAACACTGTTAAATAGTCTCTATTTTGTCACGAAATAAGAAATAGCAATTAGTTAAAAAAAAAAAAAGGGAATATATGCTCATGAATAAATAAATAGAAAAACCATACTGATGAAAGTTAGCTAGATATAGTGGCATTAAGCCTACAATCCCAGCACTCAGAAGGTGGAGGTGGGAAAATAAGATATTGAATGACCAGGATGATTTGCAACCTGAGCTGTATGAGATTCTGTTTCATAAACCAATACACAAACAAATGCAAACAAAACAATAGAAATGTTAGTAAAAGACTGCAATTCAAAGATTACTAATAATAATTACTATGAAAATGTACTTTACTCAGAGGTATTACAACATCATATAATTTGTAAGGGAGGAAGATTAAGGAAAGTATACAATTTTTCAAATGAGGAATAAGGACTCTTTTCTATTCAACACAAATATGGCCCAGGAAAACAAACATAAGTAAATGGAACAGAGAGATAAGCTAAGCAAGGACAAAAAGACTACTCAACAAAGACAGATATAACTGGGAAATGATTTTAGAAACAAAACATTTCTATTTGAAATATGCTAAAGCTATCTGTCAGCACAACAACTTTGTGCAAAAAAAAAATAGAGCAAATTACACACATTTAAAGTTGCCGGCTTTCACAAAACGACAGTAAACAATGAAACTACTTTTGGTAGAGGTGCAGGGATTTTAAAGGACATGGAATTCTACTTTTCATGACAGGTACTACATCTAAAGCCTCTTAAAAACCAACCTCTCTGAGTATAACTGTCCATCTGAGTAGAATATCTGAGTCATCAGGAACAAGATGGTACTTTCCTGTCTTTGGGACAGTTCAAACTCTACCACAAAGAACATATGTGTATCATACAAACTTGCTCCTTAAAAGACTACTTTCAACATGTATTTAAACATTATTGCACTGTGTGCTGCCTCTTATCTCTTATATTTCACTGACATTTATATATTATTTTGCTGCTATTTTCTATTTCAATTCAGGTATCACACTATTTAAAAAACTTCAAATCCTTTACGTAAGAGACATTAGTAAAATTTCATCTCATAAGTGCATTAAGAAAATTTGAACATTCTTCCACGGAACTTATCTCCATAGATTTATTTCCTTGGATTTGTCCACGACTGTTATGTTAGACGGTATATAATTCACAATAAGTACAACAGAAGGGCAAATAATGTTCTAGTAAGCTGCAATGACCTAAAATTTCTGACTGTGTAACTTGGCCACTTTTACAATCTAAAAATTTCAAAAATAGAAAAGAAAATCTTTTCCCAGGATTTTCCCCACAAAACAAAATTTTACTAAAATCCATGCAATTCTAAGGGGAGGAGGAAAACAAAAATCCTTCAGCAGGAACATAACCCGAGTCATTAAGTTATACAACACAACTAAAAACGCAAATAAATTTTATAGTCCTCTTGTTAAAAACAAATAAATAAAATGTCACTAAGACAAATGCAAAAGAAAACTCTTATCAAAATAAATAAATAAATGAATAAATAACAACAGCAAAAACCCAAAAAAGAAATAGCAGTTATACTAACTAAATACAAGGATCAAAACAAGTTTGAAAGTTATTTTGAAAGTTTATAAATAAGAAAGATCTATTGAACAAAATTATTAATTTGGCATTACAGAATACTAGAAAAATGCAGTTTATACAACGCAGCACCTTAAAATTAAATAGTAAACTATTTAATGTTGATGTATATATTTGCTTCCTATATTGTACAAAAAGAACAAATGTAGGAGAAGAGAATTTTTTTCTGAGATTAACTAGCCAAATATGATAAAAAGAAAAAATACGATATAAATATTGAAGACATGAATGGATATGAAAGATTTGCTTAAATGTTAATAATAAACTGAGAAAGAAAAAAATTGCAGGTGGGAAGCACTGCATGATAATGACCTGTGAGGTCCTTAGTTGGGATCCTCAGAATCTATGTATGGAAGCATGTATTTATACTCTCAGTGTCAGATGGGAGGACAGAGTAAAATCCCTGAAAGACTGTAGGTGAATATACTGGGCAGAGAACATAATAAAGGACCCCTAGTCTCAAATTAGGTAAAAGGTGATGACAAAGCATCAACATCAAAGTTATCCTCTGACTTCCACATACACCATGGTATATGCATGCACACATGCACAACACAAGGACACACGAACATACACAAAGTGCATAATATACTGTTTGTTCCTTGTCAGCTGGTTGTCTCTAACACAAAGAACAAAAGACAATGACAGAACGAATGTTTAGAAAAAAACCTGTCACTAATGGGAATGATGAGGTTAAAAAAGCATTATCAACTCCAATTTCACATTCTAACTTTGCAGGGTATCTGCATGTCTTTTGCAATTTAAAAGGAACAGAAAGGAAAGATTGCTGCACCATAACAAAATGGAAAACATTCAGCGGTCGTCTGATGTCTTCTTATGTCTGTTAAAGCAATACTACTATATGAGAAAATTGATCTTTTACCATGGTCTTTCCTGATCCTCGTGGTCCAACAATAAGTACAGAGTTACTTTCTCCATAGATAGCAGTTCTTTTGAGTAGCTCGATTAAATGCCTAAAATGATACAAAAAGGCGAAAATTTAAAACTGAAGGTGGAATAATTTATTGAATCATACCTTTAACAAGCTAAGTTTGAAAGTGAATATTAATTCTCCCCTTTGGGCTCTCTAGCCTTTGAAGGATCTAAATTTTCCCGTATAGAAGAATAAAGAGTAAACGACATTTGGATCTCCAAATTGAGTCTCTAAGAGACCTGAAGAGGAATCCCAGAAAGGCTGTAATTTATTGAGTTTCATAGTAGGAAAGGATAAGGGAAAACTGTGCTAACTTTTAAGTCCTCTGGCCTTGAAAGTAACTATGTTTGCTAGTACTTTGGTTATCGTTACCTGAGATGGCTGACAGGTGCTAAGGTCATGAATAGCAGATAATAGCAAATAGACATAAAAGAAGTATTATATAAGTAGTTGTATGTGTTCCTGTTTTACAATATTCAGAATTTCTATATATGAAACACCAAAATATAAGATAAAATCTGTGTGTGACTAGCCTTTACAAAACTTGGAGAGCAGATACAAATAAGTTCCTACTAGAGGAGCTGACAGCTAGAGACTTACTTATACTGTACTTGTACTCCAAATAGGTTGCTATGTGGACTCTGATGACAAAATCTTTCACGTAAAATTCTTTGCACCTGATAAACATAAGAGAACAAATAAAATAAAAATATTACACACATAATAAAAATGAATGTGAATCTCTACTTGTAGCAGTCAGGAATTCAACAAATACAAACTAACTGCTCTGGCACCATATTTTGAGAGTTTTAATGACTAAATTTTTCACTTTGTGTAGAATGCTATGCAAAAAACAAAGACTAGAAGAAATCTAATAATGTAATATAATCTAATGGTGCCAGTGCAACTACATAGTCAATGGTCTCTCTAGAGATTAACACATCTAAAATGTCTTAGCTTAGTCACTACCAATAGGGACCCGCCTTAAAAGTCAGGATTCTTTAGAAAGCTTAAAAATTCATGTAGTTTTAAGTACACATTAGATTCTGAGCACAGAAATACTACAAGAGCATAATTCATGCTTTAAAAGACACTGGAAAATAGGACAGAAATAGGAATTCAAATAACAAACTACAACACAGTACTAGTTCAACCTATAAGCCAGTTTTTAATTAAGTGAAAAAAAATGACATTAAACTAGTCTAAAAAGTAAGGACCAGGGATGTCGTTCAGTGATAAAGCTGCTGCTCAGTGTATGTGCACAGGCCCTGGTTTCAATCACCATAACTGCATAAAGAAATAAGTGCATAAAAAATAAAAATGTAAGACATCATTGGAGCAAACTCAAACAGAATTTGTTTAAAGTAGCTATGTTTTCAAATTTGTCTTAAAATTATGGTCTTAAGACTTAAGTTGGGAAAAATCATGCCAAAATTATCAAGTAGTCTTTTAAAAAGCAACCCACTGTAAAGTTATTTCTTTTCTATATCTGGTACTAATACAGTCATCATTCAGAGACAATCTTGGGGAAGCTAAGATTTGAAAAAATGTGCTGAAATAAACACTAAAGGATTATACGCTTTTTCCAGACTAAGAGCTGTCACATTCTGAAAGTACTAAAGACTTAATGTGAGGTTTTATTGTTTTGTTTTTACAGGTATGAAAGGATAAAATAATGATTCATATGGCTATTACTTTAGGGGAAGTAGAAATAATAATGCGAATGGTGCCAAAGGAGTCATTTAAGTTAACATTAAGAGATCAAGTCTTTTCCAGATCTAAACATCTAAATAATGGAAAATTAACACTTTTGTGTCAGGCCCATTTTGAAGATTAATGCAGTTATCTGTAATACTATATAGGAGTTATATAGGTAATAGTTGATACCCATTAATCACTAAAATGGACTATTAGTCATCTAAAGGATCAATGAATTAGATAGATAGATAGATAGATAGATAGATAGATAGATAGATAGATAGATAGACAGACAGATAATTAATATGATATTAACTGGAAGAACTATTGGTTTCACATATAAAAAAGATCTACTTATCTATTAAGCAGTAATTTTTCTTTAAAATGAAAGGTGAGGTCAAGGTTGAGCAGATGGCTCAGTTGGGAAATTGTTTGCTGTGCAAGCATGAGAAGCTGAGTTCAGATTCTCAGCACCCATAATAAAATGCCAGGTATAGAAAGCTCATGTCTACAACTCCAGACCTGGAAAGTGGAGACAGGAGATTATAGAGCTTGCTGTCCAGTCAGTCTAGCCAACTAGAAAACTTTATGTCCAACAAGAAACCCCACTTAATAACATCATGGAGAATGACACAGCAAGATAGCTAGCATTCACCACAGACCTGCACACACATATCTAACACATGTATATACATTTATGAAAAAAAGGTCTTTTTAAGACTAATAATAAAATTTAGCATGGAAAAGTAAACGTGGCTGAGGTCAACCCAGATCCATGCAAGGGTGGAGTTATCATGGCAATTCCCTATTAGATTATAGACTTCTCATGGAAAACACACATATCTACACACTTAGTATTTGAAATACAGTATGCTTTTAAGATAATATCAAGCATTTAATATAAAAATACTCAACAAACTAAGAATATAAAAAGACTTGCTTAAACTGGGAAAGGGCATCAGCAAAGTATAGTGAAAGACTGTTCTCTTTTTTGTAATCAGAAGTTTATGGCGCCAAATAGTACTTATCTAACATTTTCAGAGCTCTGGTGATATTCCTAGCACTGCCCTTTCCACTGACATAATACTTTAAAAAAAAAAAAAAAAAAAAAAAGCCAGCAAGCACATTCAACTGAAAAAAGATATTTAAAGATAACAAAATGTTGAACAGAAAACACTCCAAAGTAAAGTAGGAAAAAAAAAAAATCAATATTAACTAATGAGTTCAGTAAGGCTGCAATACATTAGGATTAACTATTTCTATAAATTATGACCTAACAAACATAAAATTAAGAAAATAGTTTTACATATATTAGCACCTAAAATAATAAAATACTTTAGAATATATTTAACAGAAGAAGTGCAAACTCTGCATGTGATATTTAACTAAATTTAAACCAGACTACTTTAGAAAGACATAGGAGAGGTTAGGATTCATGTATACAAACACAAAAGGTGAAGCCTCACAGCATCTTCAGAGATCAATATAAAAAAACTTTACAAAACAGAAGCCTTCAAGATCTTCCAACAATAAAAACACAATGTATCATTTCACATATATTTTTAAAATTTAGAGAGCTTATTTCTATTCATTGTTCTTAGGAACTTGTAAATATATTGCCCCTAGAATGTAAAGCAGTTTAAAATGTGTTAAGGAAAAAAAAAAAAAACAAAAAACGGTTATTTTTCTGATTTTTTAAATCCTTGACAGGATTTTGAGATTAAGGAACAGGCTTTGAGATTAAGGAATATACATACTAACCTGTGAAAAACACTCTGCATGTATTATGCTGTTACTTCTCGTTTTACGATTGTTCATTTTGACTAACTCAAATCCTAAAATAAAAAAAGAAAAAAAAAAACAGAATGAATAAACACTATCTGCTTTAAACGCTAACTTAAAAATTACATTTACAGAGTCAAATACAAATTCCTTCTTTTTCTTTACACAGTATTCTGCCAGCATGTGTGCCTGCACACCAGAAAAGGGCAACAGATTGTCACGATACATGGTTATGACCCACCATGTAGTTGCTGGGAACTGAACTCAGAACCTTTGGAAGAACAGCCGGTGTTCTTAACCTCTGAGCCATCTCTCCAGCCCCCAAATACAAATGCTTTTTTTTTTTTTTCATTTTGTTTTATTTTTTAATTAATTTTTTATTTTTTATATAACCCAGCTGTCGCCCTCTCCTTCATTCCCACCCAATCCCACCCTCATCTCCTCCCTGTCCCTCTCTAAGTCAACTGATAGGGGAGGTCCTCCTCCCCTCTCATCTGACCATATCTTATCAAGTCTCATCAACTGGCTGCAATGTCCTCCTCTGTGGCCTAGTAAGGCTGCTCCTCCCTCCCTCCCGGGGTAGGGGAGGGAGGTAAAAAAGCCAGCCACTGAGTTCATGTCAGAGACAGTCCCTGTTTCCCTTACTAGGGCACCCACTTGGATACTGAGCTGCCATGGGCTATGTCTGAGCAGTGGTTCTAGGTTATATCCATGCATGGTCCTTGGTTGGAGAATCAGTCTCAGAAAAGACTGCTGTGCCCAGATATATTTGGTCCTTTTGGAGCTCCTGTCCTCTCCAGGTCATACGAACTCCCCCTTCTTTCATAAGATTCCACCCTGCCCAAAGTTTGGTTATGAGTCTCAGCATCTGCTTTGATACATTGCTAGGTCGAGTATTTCAGAGGCCCTCTATGGTAGGCTCCTGTCCTGTTTCTTGTTTTCTCCTAATTCCAATGTCCGTCCCAAATATTTGTCTAAGTGAGGATTGATTATCTAACCCCGGGTCCTCCTTGTTGTTTTAGCTTCCTTATGTGTACAGATTTTAGTATGTTTATCTAATCTTTTAGGTCTAGTATCCACTTATAAGTGAGTATATACCATATGTGTCTTTATGCTTCTGGGATACCTCACACTCAGGATGACCTTTTCTAGATCCCACCATTTGCCTACAACTTTCATGATTTTCTTGTTTTTAATTGCTGAGTAGTATTCCATTGTGTAAATATACCACAATTTCTGTATCCATTTGTTAAGGGACATCTGGGTTGTTTCCAGGTTCTGGCTATTATGAATAAAGCTGCTACAAACATGGTTGAACAAATGCCCTTGTTGTGTACTTGAGCATACTTTGGATATATGCCTAGGAGTGGAAGCACTATTCCTAATTGTCTGAGAAAACGCCAGATTGATTTCCAAAGTGGTTGTACAAGTTTACACTCCCACTAGCAATGGCAGAGGGTTCCCCTTTCTCCACATCCTCTCCAGCATGTGTAGTCACTTGAGTTTTTGATCTTAGCCATTCTGATGGGTGTAAGGTGAAATCTCAAGGTCATTTTGATTTGCATCTCCCTGATGGGTATGTAATAAATGTTTAAAATTTTCAAATGACCCTAGAACTGTTTCCATTTGTTCATGTACAGGCTTATTTGGCACTCTCACAACTGACATGGTTTCTTGATTACTCCTTCCTTCCCCCCTAAATGTACAATTTAAGTATTTTTCTTTCATAAAGAATGCTTCTCCTACCCATCATTGTTTTTACAGCACACCTTTCATTTCTTGTTCTACTCAAGAATACTACACAATCTCAACACATTAATGTTAATCTAAGGATTAATGTCTTAATCTAAGAAAACACAGTATATGGCTAAATGAAATGACAAAAACAACTCATGAATTGAAAACTAAATTCAGTAAAGATAAATACATATTAAAGAGAGCACACAAGTTTAAATTAAGATGGAACTGAAAAACTAATAGCCCAGGTAGAAAACTCATGAAAGTCTTTCTAGTGGAATGGACCATGAAGAACACAGAACATTAGAACGTGAAGAAGAAAGTTGGACCACACAAGCCAAAAAAAAAGGGGGGGGGGGGGGGTTGGGGAGGGTGACACCACACTACAACTGTGGATCATTAAAGGACCAAATCTTAAATAGCAGACATAGATGAAGGAGAAGAATCCTAAAGCCAGTGAACTAAAACAGATCTTCAAAAATAAAAATAAAAGAAACTTTCTCCAAATTAAGGAAAAAATATACAGATACAAACAGCATACAGAACACCAAATACGACTAGAAGAGAAGTCCCTATGGCATATTACAGTGGTTGGAATTCTGGAAACTCTTCAGAGGGTATGTAAATAAATGCTAGGGCCCAAAAGGCAGCATTGCTGGTTGTTGGTCATTCACAGGTTTTGTGGGTACTCAAAGAAACAAGAAGAAGTTAAATTCAAGAATCTCTCTTTCTCCCCTCCTTCCCCCTCAATCCCTCTTTCTCTCTTATCTAGTGATAGGAAGTGAAAGGAGGTGGGGTGTTAAAAGGGTGAGGAAAAGAAGAACCCACTAAGTGGCAAAGACTTAAACTTGTGGTTGTTTTTGATTTGCTTTTTCTTACTGCTTTCAGCACCCTCTCTTTGTTCTGTCTTCTTCAATTTCTTTCTTCAGTGTCTTAAAGTTATTATTACACAAGTCTTTCACTTGCTTGAGTTTCTTATCTTTACAGATAGTACTGCTAAAGACCATCTAAGAAAAACCCCAATAGCAGATATGAGAATTGCTCTTTTGAATTGTTAGCCAGGGCTTCTAGGAGATTCCCCAAACAAACAGCCTACTGCTCTTGCCTTGGTAATACCAGGATATGGAAGGTAAGTCCCCACTGATGAAGGAGCCATGCATTTTAGAAAGAGGGTGCAGAGACCTCTGAGCTTGAACTGACTTGAATGCCCTCTCCTTGGGGACTAGCATTCATGGTACCAGACAGAGGTGTCATGCAAGCTTCCAAAGAAAGAGGCAACTATGATATGCAGCTATGATATCTATGAACTATGTCAATGACCAGCATGGTCCAATAATCGTACAGGTGAAGTAGTGGCACATATATTTTGGTGGTAATGATCTGCTCTCTAACCAGACTTAAAAGACTCATTCAATAAAAGGGTACTAGAAACCTAGTAACTACTCAGAACTAATAAAATAATAGTTACTAGAGGAGAATCTACAACCACTAATTTACCAAAGCAGCAATAATAACTAACAATAATCTAAACACTTGTTTTTTTACCCTAAGATAAGTGCAGTCTTCATACCTCATTAAGAAAACTTCTCTTTGAAACAGATGGAGACAACTCCTATAGAAAACCACAATCAATCAAAATGCAGAGTTGTGGAGCCTAGTTCCATGGATATGCAAACAAAATATTCCAGGCACCTAAGGCTCAGGGAACATTGTGTAAGAGAGGTGAAAAGATTATAAGAGCGAAAACATTAGGGAGTTTGCTGTAAGACTGTCTCTCCTAGTAACATTAGTAGCTATAACCATGAAGTCTAACTAACAGGACTACCCAAATGTAAACGAAACAAGGGTGACACCAATGGACATTCCAAACTGAACTAGGAAAGGCCCACAAGGCTTCAACGCTATACAAAGAACCATAGGCAACTAAATAAAGTTGGGAGTGGAAGAGATGGTTGTCGTGGTTTGACCCTATAAATTCATATAAAGAATGGACCCTATAAATTCAGAGGTGTGTGGCCTTACTGGAGTAGATATGGCCTTGTTAAAAGAAATGTCACTGGGAAGTGCGCCCAGTCTCTTATCTCTCTCATACTATAAGTGCAAGCCCATGATTAAAGTGCTTGTATTTTTAAAATAAGAGTTGCCTTGATTATGGTGTTTCATCACAGAAATACTAACCCTAACTAAGGTAGGGTCATCTAGTGCCAAATGGTTAGCACTGAAAACATTTATACAAGCAACATTACATGGACTCAATAGTTCATATTTAGGAATATATGTGTATGTAATAACAATTTGTAACCCAAAAGAGCCCATGAATTTTAAAGAAAGTGAGAACGAGCATATAAGACTTTGGAGGGAGGAAAGAGAAGGCAAAAATGTAATAAAATTATAATCTCAATAACAACAAAAAAGAGAAAATGCTGAATAAAACTGAAAACAACTCTTAGATATACAAGAATACTGAGGTCACAAGGTAAACAATGTCTTCCCACATTGTAGAAATACTGGCAGACACTGATGATCTCAATTTAATATAGCAGGAGCAGAAACTGGATTGGAGATGGCTTCAGGTTACTGCTGAATGCTCTCAATGTACACAGGTTAGCCAGGTATACTTGTTCAGTGGCCTCTACTATGCAGCCCAGGGACACACAAAACTTGAGATCTCATGATAGGATTACAGGATGTTTCCCAACCTACACACATTAATATGGGTTCCTATAGCAGTTGAAGACAGTTGAAGATCTTATGTAAGAAACCCCAAGCAAAACCTTAAGACACAACATGAACCTTTAGCTATGGGACCTGTTTTTTTTTTTTTTTCCAGGAAGCAGTAAATACATTCTCTGAAGTAGTTAAATATAAAATCTACCACAGATTTATTTACTGTCAGTCCTCCAACCCATACAATTCTTGTAAAACACCAAGTGTAATCCACAGTGATGTTATAGAAGGAAACATCACGATCTTATAAACAGATGCACAAAAAACATTCGACAAAATACAACACTGATCTTGTGTGTGTGTGTGTGTGCGTGTTTACATGTGTATCAAACTACAGTGAGAATTTTTTGAACATTGTAAACAATATTTAGAAAAAAATCTAGAGCTAGCAGAACTATTATTAATGTAAACTAAAAGTATCTCCATGACTTCTGTTCAAATGATTTTGAAACCCTTATAAAATGTAAAGGTCAAAAGACAGACATGAAGGGGAAAACTGGTCTTTGTTTCACAGATGCCATGATTATCTTCATATAAAATGCTTACTATCAACAAATACAAATATTATGTTGTTTATGATTAAGAAATA